GAGTAGTAAGTCCTCTAGCTTACGAGCTTGATTTTCTATAGTTATAGCGAGTATATAGAGTCGTCTTAATTACCTAGCTTATTCTAGCCCTAGTTAGGGATCCTTTCGGCCGAGAACGAATAAAGCAGGTTCGATTACTATTAATAGTAATAATAACGAGTAGTCTTCGTATAAGATCGAAAAGCTTCTAAAAAGGCGTATTATTTGATAAGGGGGATATCTATATACCGAATACCTAATCCGATAGAGGAGATAGCCCGATTAGTATAATAAGTAGTATCCGTGATAGATTTTAATAGAAAATACGAGCTATTTAGTATACGAATTTAAGAAACGATAGCCTATTATCATGGAGGAATTAATAGGAAGCGAGACTACCGATAACCGGATTTTATTAGAACGAAGCGCGATAAAGTATTAACGGCTAGTCAAAGTATAGATTTCACGACGGCGACGGGCGGATAATTCCGAGTATCGGGATTTCGACGACGATAACCTCTAATAAGACGGATTAGCCGTAAACGGAATATATTTACCTATCCCGGTGGTAGTATAATATAGAGAGCGATTAATAGCGTAAGTTATTATCTATTTTCCTATTAGCGACCTTTTATATTCTATTAATAATTAACTCCTTACTATCTCTATTCACGCGTCCCTTATAGGGCTCTTTTTCCTTTAATTCAGTATAAATATTATATTATCAATACTATAATACTCTTAAATCCTATTCACTTTTCTAGTCACGCGGTAATTTCTAACGTTATAACCTATAGCACTAAAACTAATTCTATTTCTATACCCTCTTTAACTTAATTTCCTTTCTCTTTTCCTTCTTTTCTTTCCTTTTCTCTTCTATATCTTTTCGTACTATAGAACGCTTTTTCCTTTATTAGCAAATCCCGATATATTTATAGTATACTCGATAGTTATTATATACTTTTCTTTAATTTTATTTTCATTAAATCCCTACTCCCTTATCTACTTATTCTATTCCCCTATATTATACCTCGATATAGGTTCAAAAAAAGGCGGTAAGGCAGCTACCTATACTAGACCGATAAACCCTATACCCGGTGACTATAATTATTAGGAGAAGAAATTACTTATCGTTAACACTACTAGAAGTAATATTCAGTTCTTTTATAAGATCTCTAAGTGCTTATATAAGAATTACCGCAGGTACGAATAGTTTCACGATATTCTCCTTTTCCTATCGGTATAGTGGTCTCGCATAGTCTAGGAAAAAGGTATAACGACCATATTTTACTCGTTCTAAGCAGTAGTCACCGGTAATAATAAGAATAAGCTGTAAAATATTATTGAAGATACTAAAGATTACGGTATTAGTCCTTATATACTAGAGGCGTGGGAGGTGGTATACTATATATAAATAAAAGGAGGAGACCGGAAATTCCCGGGCTAGATAAATAAGTGGGTAATAGTATAGCCGCGTATTAACGATAAAGATTATCTCTTAGACGACTAAAATACGCTTTATCTTTTCGAGCAAGCTATAGTGGTAATAGCCTTATATAGATACTAGAAAGATCCAGAATTCCTGACCGATATATAGGATCTAGACTTAGTACCTAATAAGAGACGCTAGAAGATATCTAAGGGTAATTTCAAGATAGATAATGAAAATGTTTAGTTATACGGAGATAATGATTATAGTCCTTATACAAATATAACCGGAACTGGCGTAATATAGACGATACTAGTACCACAGACTCTATAAATAGCTATACCCCAAGTCCCGCAGATAGCCGTACCTTAGATATAGATAACCGTATCGCCAGCTCTATAGATAACCACGCCGTAGTCTCCGAGTCCAATATAGTATATAATACTATAGATATAATAACTAGCTTAGATATAACCTATAGCACCGTAAACGAAACAGCCATTCCAGTAATAACCTAATACCACGTAGCCTTAATATACGATATAATAATAACCTACGGCTACTACCACAACAGGTATAGTCTTATATATAGATAAGCTAGTTAGGCGGATATTTATAGACTAGCGCTTTATAGTCGCCGGTGCTAATAGGACTATTAACTAGCACCTTATTACTAGAGTGGATCGATTAATCGGATCTATACTGCTAGATCCCACGGATCTAGTATAGCGTCTAAAGATCAAGATCGCTAAGGGATATAAATACTTTATTTACTATATTATCGTGTTAGCGTTAAGAGATAGTGGCGCGATTAGAGCTAACTAGCCTATAATAACTAATAAAGATAATATTATAATCGAAACCATTAGATAGCGTGACGAGGGTATTACTAATAGATATAGTAAGAGACTAGGATCCCTAAGCGAGGATTTAGAGTTTATTAAAGTAAACCCGAAAAGGTAGAAGACGAATATTAGAAATGCCTCGACGATACCTCCCGTATAATAAGGTGTTAGCTCCTAACCTACGACGATAACTAACCAGACTATTTTATAGGGTATAACTACTACGACTAATATAAAGGCACTCGAGAAAAAGATAATAGATAAATTTAGATAGTTACGGGATAATATAGATAATTTCTAGGCAATTATATAATAGACGATAACAGCCTATCGAGATACCTGTTAGTAAAGTATTAATAGAGTAAGGTAATTAGTCGACACACAGAAGATTAATAACATTAAGTAATTCAAAGATCTGTATAAAAAGATTAACGATTTTATAGTTCGATAAGGAAATTCGGCTCTAGTAGTGAGCTAATTATAGGCGAATATTAAAAAGCTCACGCCGACTTTAATACCTATATCGATACCTAAGAAATCATAACTATATTCTAAGCCTTTATCGTCTTTAAACTAGTCGTAAGGGTAGTTATAATCTTCTGTATAGAAATAGTCGTAGCCGTAGCCCGTTATCTAAAAGTATATATAATTATAATAATAATAGGTATAGATAAAATCAAAACCGGCTATATAGAAGTAATTATAGCCTTAACCGTAGGCGTAGGCGTAGCCTTAGTAACCTTAGCTACCGATTATTATTAGCGATAACGAGGAGGATAACGAATAGTAGACGCTTTGGATTTAACGAACGGAGGATAACTATAAGGTGATTAAGAGACGGAGGATCCGGCTACTTAGGATAGGTTATTAGGTTATAGAGGCTAAGAATTTTGCTTTAGTCCTAGGAAGGAATTTTGACTTAGGGGCTAACGGAATAATCTAACGACGGATAGTAATCGGGATGATTATATTTATAGGGGAGGGTATTACTACGCGTAGATATATAGTTATAGCTATAGCTATATAGACATATCGTTAGTATTAGTGGATAAGTTAGTAGGTGGTAGAGACTACTTATTAGTTCTCTGCTATAGAGCTCTAGGAGCTTTAGAGATAGTTCTAGATCTTCACGTCTTTATATTTTCTGATTGTTTATATCGCCTGTGACGCCGTATACGGCATATTAAGAAAGCTATTTTTAGATTATACGCGGGGAGGCTAGGGTAGTATAAGGTTGTAACTATACGACTATAATACGACTGCGACCTCGCCTCCGGCAGGGGGGGGGGTATATTACGGGCTATAGCCCGCGGAATAGTCCCCGGCAGTGGCCGGGACTAAGGAGCACGGACCTCCTAGTAAGGCCCGTGCGATTCTATATATACTTAGCCGCCTACACACCGCGTAGACTTTTCCTTTCCTCCTTTCCTTTCTTAGTTCGAATAATCTATATTTTCGGCCTTAATACATAAACAACTTTTGATAAGCCGTTACACTTTACTGCCTTAAGTAGTTTATACGGATCTATATCGTCCTTCTTCTATATAGAGCCCTTTAGGCGAAGCTTGATAGGCTTAATTATAGTTAGAAGTGCGCTATAAACTATTACCCTTTATTAACGTGTTATAGTATCACGGGAGTGATTTTAAGGGTAGTCGATAATATCTAGTAGCTTATAGCTGGCTAGAGAGGCCTTGACTTTATACTCCTAATCGTTATAGTTAGTATCTTCCTTAAGAACGGGGAACTTAATTTATGTTAGTTATATCTTTAGATTTATAACTAGCTATTTTATAAAGTCGTTTTATGGATTACCTTATCGTGGAGGTGGTTAATCGTCTTCCAGGGAGTAGGGGTTACGATACCTTATATCTTAAGGCTCGCCTGTTTCGAAGAACGAGGGGCTAAAGGAATGCCTAAGGCTCTCTCTAATATCCTAGGGTATATCCTTCTAGTTATTCTTAAGGGTATTAATAAGGCTTTATATGTTATCTATGCCTGCTCTCTATTAATCAGGAGTTATCCTCTAGTATTACTATTATTGCTAAGCTTATATATTAGCTTCTATTTCTTCTTAAAGGCGTGTCTTATCGTAGTCGTCTTCTTCTAGGATTATTTCTAGTGACTCTTACGGCCTTAAGGGCCCTGCTTAGCTGTATAGCGTTTCGCGAGCTATCTTATCCACTCGTTATTAAATTGACGAATGCGCTTTCGGTGAAAATTATACTCTAATCCTAGAAAGGGATCGAAAGAAGTGGTATCTAATCTGGGAAAAAGGATAGAGGGTTAAGGATCAGAGATCCTATTAGGTTTTTAACCTATTTTATTCTTAATTACGAAAGTAGGGGCTTATAACCTATAGAGAGTATAACACTTACGTATATTAAGTGTGTGTGAAGCTATCCATAGCCTCGGCACAGGTTATAGGAGGTCTGACTACCTAGGCGGCGTAACCTGATTGGTTGGCCGAGCGGAGTCACGAGCGAAGTCACGTGACACCCGTAACAAATACATGGTGGTTTGGTAGCAGCTGTTTTGAAAATGAGAGCTGGAATTGTCGTCCGTACATATGATGTCATCAGCTTCCTTTTCTCTGAGGTACCGGTACCCATCGGTCCCATCGGTCCCATCCCACACATCTGCCACTCCCCAACTTCCGCTCATATCCACATCTACCTTAGACCTGTTAATCAAGCTCTCAACCCCATCGAAATGAGCCCACAGACCAACATCGGAAAGACCAAACCATGTACGAAATCTACGCCGTGAGTTCCGGACCCCGGAGTCCTCTCAACTTGACCCAGCTGCTGGGCCCTGCCGCCCCTGGCCTCCTGCTGACGAGGATGGACCACACAAGGCCGGTGCAGCGGCGGCCTTCACCGTTGACTGCCTCGTTTACCCACTCGATACGCTCAAGACACGCTACCAAAGCCAGGATTTTCTCAAGACATTTGCCTCTCGTCCGGGCGAGGCCAAGGTGCCGGTATTTCGCGGCTTATACCAGGGCATCGGCAGCGTCATTGTCGCAACCCTTCCAGCGGGTACAGTCGTCCACTCCTGCCTCTTTCCTTTTCGTCCTTCCATTCCACGGCTGTGACAGACGGGGACGATGGATCTTCGTAAAGACCAACTGACCGAACGATACACAGCGGGCATCTTCTTTGCCACCTACGAAAGCATGAAACAGAGCATATCTCTGGCCGTCCCCATGGCGCCGCAACCGCTAGTCCACTCTTCCGCGTCCGCCATCGCCGAGATGGCTTCGTGCGTGGTGCTGGCACCAGCAGAGGTCGTCAAGCAGAATGCGCAGATGCTACGCAGGCAGCAGCAGAATGGGACTAGGGCGAGTTCATCCACGTCTCTGCAAGCAGTCTATCAGATCGCTGCCTCGGGAGCCCGGAAGAGGCTGTTCACCGGGTACACGGCTTTGGTGGCTCGGAACCTCCCCTTCACGGCCCTGCAGTTCCCCATCTTCGAGCATTTGCGGGATCGGATCTGGGAGTGGCGGGATCAATCGCCGCCAGGGGTCACCGTAAGCCGAACAGATCCGTCGCAGGCACGGTCACGGCAACGGAAACGGAAACGAGAGCGCGGCCTCCTGGAGACGGCAGTCGTTAATGGCGTGAGTGCGGGGGCGGCGGGCGCCATGGCGGCCTTCGTCACAGCACCGAGCGATGTTGTCAAGACGCGGATGATGTTAAGCGCGGGCGATGGTGAAGACCCCAAAGATCCTGCGTCAACAAGGTCAAGGTCAGACCCGGAGACTTGTCAGAATAGAAGCAGAAGCAGAAGCAGCTGGTCGACTGCGCGCGAAGTGTATCGCAATAACGGACTGCGAGGCCTCTTTCGTGGAGGACTGCTGCGTTCTGTATGGACGGCCTTGGGGAGTGGTCTGTACCTGGGGACGTACGAGATGTCCAAGGTGTGGCTGACTCGGGATAAAACCGAGCAAGACGTTCTCGGGGAGCCATCCTGATCCTCATTCACTGGCCAGAGTCAAAATGGGGAATGCCGCTGATAAAAGGATTCGAGGACCTTCTCGCATCAGAATTACTCCCGATGGCGCCATAGCCCCACGAACGCTATAAAAATGGCCGATTCAAGGTGACCGACTTGTTCCGTGTGCCAGGGACCCACCTCGAGTTCGGTGAGGCAATCGTCATGGCAGAAGACGTGCGCGATCGTCCCGAGGCCCTGGCATGCCAGCTTTTTGGTCTGTTAAGTCCGACGACAGTTTATAAGCCCGGACCATCCTACACAAGGGTCTGGTCTGCCATGTCAAACAAAGTGTTCCCGTCCTGTGTTGTCTTTGGGGGTTTCACTGGGCTTGCTAGCGATTTCTCCTTCGTTCACCGATATCCATCATGGCAGCAACCGTGAGCTCTGTGGCAGAGTTGACCACCAGCATCCCGCGGCAAAGCCCAGTGCATACCAAGAGCGAAAGCATTATCACCACCGCCGACGTAGAGCCGGAAGATGAGGAAGATCCCCCCCGTTGGTTTATTCACTCGCCTTACGAGGAGCCGGAGCACCAACTCGATCTGCACACTCTCGACCACGAGAACGCACTGGTCGCCCAAGCACTGGCTCGCATGAAGAACACTCGGCCGGACTATGCCACCGCTCCCTACACCGAGTCCTTCAACTGGGACGAGGTCTTCGGGGAACTCAAGCACCTGGTGCGGAAGTCGGGCAAGCCTTTCAGGGAGACGTCCTTCTACGTCGTGGCCTTCCGGTCACAGATCCCGCCTACCACCATCTACGCCGACCTCGGTGCACTGGATAAGGATGCTCATCGCGAAGCCAATGCCGTTGGGGGATTTCTGAAGTAAGAAAACGGGAGAAGAGAACAGAACCGCGTGAATGAGAAAGAGTTCCCCCCGTGCCCTTGGACTTACGCGAGAGGGAAAAATATAGGTATTGGTTCGGGGAACCGACCGCCGAGGGCCGGAACCTGGCGACCTGTTTCTGGCGATCGCGGGGAGATGCTGTCAGGGCAGGACAGGGCCCGGCTCATCGGAAGGCCGCGAGGGCTACGGCGTCCATGTATTCGTTTTGGAGGATTGACCGCCACAAACTGACCGTCCGCGAGGGTGCCGAGAGCTTCGAGTTTATCGACTGGGAGGACTGACGTCTGATACTGAGAGGGATGTCTTTGTTCTTTTTAGAAAATTATTTGTTGCGACAGGAAAAGAACATAGCGATTGGCTTTCTTTCTTTCTTTCTTCTTCTTCTTTTTTTTTATATTTTTATATTTTTTTTTTTGGCAAGGTAATTGGATGCCAGAACTTGGCTGCAGTTGCAGTCTTGTGGTTAGAACATTGAATCTAGAGTTCGTTTGAATGGCGATGAAAGCATGAATTCCTAGACATGTCTGTCTCTTCTCAATACTCAATGCTCACCATCGGTCTCTCATGTCGCGCGGACTGATTAGTTCATCGGACAGGATGAGGTAATCCAGCAAGAATTCCCTAATTAGGCAATACTGCCGCCCTTGACCACCTCTCCGCCCACAATCCCACTTTCCAAGCCATGGGCGAAAAAGTTGGATATGTTGATATTCCAGACGTCCAACCGTAATCTCCGCCCCTCCAACCGAGCGCGATATCACGACTCCCGATACCTCGTCCGCACTTTTTTCTTTTTCCTTACCCACAGAGGTCCCCGCCCACACCCTCCTAGCAGACGAGAGAAAACAACATCGCAAACATGGCGGACGTTATCAAGGATGTCCCCATCACCTCGGTGGTCGTCGAGGCCCTAGTAAGTCCTCCCGTCCTGCAGGCGCCTACTCACTCTTCCTTGCGCGAGCGCAGCCGCTTTTCCCAGTCCTCCCCTCTAAGGGTCGCCCCACTCCATGAGCCGCCCATAGTCGACTGACCAGACCGTCTTTCTCTTTCTCTTCGATCTCTAGGTGGTGATGAAGATCGTCAAGCATGGCTCGTCCAACTTCCCCACCATCGCGACCGGGTCCATCGTCGGCATGGACCGCAACGGCGTCCTCGAAATCACAAACTCCTTCCACTTCCCCACGGTCGAGACCTCGGCCGACTCCTCCTCCTCCCACCAGAACGACGCCTCGGCCCTGGCCGTCGCCGCGCCGAGGCAAAAGGCCAACATCGCCTACCAAAACGAGATGATCAGGCACCTGAAGGAGGTCAACGTCGACGCGAACAACGTCGGCTGGTACACCAGCGCCACCATGGGCAACTTTGTCAACCTCGGCTTCATCGAGAACCAGTACCACTACCAGAAGGACAACGAGAAAACCGTTGCCGTCGTCCATGACGTCAGCCGCACCTCGCAGGGTTCTCTGAGCCTTCGTGCTTTCAAGCTGACGCCGGCGTTTATGGCTGCCTATAAGGAGGGCAAGTTTACGACGGAGAGGTATGGTGTTTTTTCTTTCTTTTTTCTTTTTTCTTTTCCCCCCCTTTTTATGGTTCTGCTTCTGTTACCGTTGCTCCCTCTCCCAATGTGTCAACTCGCCGTGTATGCGCCCCTGGTATTACCTCGTCACCGATGCTAACGGTACCTTTCCGGATGTGCAGCTTGCAGAAATCCAAACTCACTTTCAGGGACATCCTCCAAGAATTCCCCGTCACCGTCCACAACACGCACCTCCTCACCACCTTCCTGCACCAGCTCCCGCAGGCCCCGCAGCCCGACACGCTGGAGCCACCAACATCCATCTCGGAGCTCAAGGACGACCCGTCCCGGCAGCCGCTGTACCCGTCGGTGGACAACCTGGACCTGTCGATCGACCCGTTCCTGGAGAAGACGTGCGACCTGCTCCTCGACAGCATCGACGCGCACTACAACGAGGTGAACAACTACCAGTTCTACCAGCGGCAGCTGGGCCGCGAGCAGGCCAAGATCTCGCAGTGGCAGGCCAAGCGCAAGGCCGAGAACGCGCAGCGGACGCTGGCCAAGCAGCAGCTGCTCCCCGAGGACGAGTGGCAGCGGCTGTTCAAGCTGCCGCAGGAGCCGAGCCGGCTGGAGGGCATGCTCAACGCTAAGCAGGTCGAGCAGTACAGCAAGCAGGTGGACGGGTTCACGGCCAATATCAGCGCCAAGATGTTTGCCGTGCGGGAGAACTTGCTTCCCAAGCACGCGTAGAGGGGGCGGCGCTTCGAATTTGGGTTTCCCCCGGCGAAGCGAATGAATTAAGGCTTTAAAAGGGGACAAAAAGCACAAGGTTTACGCAACGAGGAGGCTGGGAGAATCAAAAGGACAGGGACAGCTGGGCTGATGACCGAACAACGACTTATCGGGGAAATAGGGCGGCACATAGACGTGAAGGTCCTCGGATGTCGGTCTGGGTCAGGGATGGTTGATCTGGATCTGGGGAGCGGATCATTTCAGCATTTCTACATGGCGTTTTACGGGGCTGCCCGCTCTCTGTGTGTCTCTTACATAGGTATGACGGGCAGTGCAGATAATCGACATCTCAATGACCTGGGGTGTTGATGATCTCTCTGGTAAGAATTATCGGCAGCAATTTTTCACGAAAACTTAGGTCGGACCTGTGTTGTAAAGTGACAAGTTGGGATTTGACAGCGCCTTTGTCGTGACGGGACCCGTCTCATCCCACCATCCCACCATCCCATCACGGATTTCTAATGCGTTACCGCCGCATACGGAGCGTTGATTTTGGGGTTTTGTCGCAGTCGTCCATAAGCGGGCACGTGGTCGGGAATAACCTGAGACTGGAGTGCTACTTTCTGTCGGGTACACTGAAGTAGCTCTCTACTCCGGTCCCCCTCATTTGTCGTCCTTTGTGCCCCGCGAACGGAGGCAGCAAAGCCACACCTTCATCTCGAGTGGGAGGTCCCAGTGTAACCTCTCAATTATGATTGTTATTGTTGTTATCATTGATGATTTTTCTTGTTGGCTCTATGGGAAACAAGAAGGAATTGGTCACGACTAACAATGTACTCGTATTTCCACTTGGGAGCGGGCAAACAAACGGGTCCAACAACTCGAGAGAAAAAAAATGGAAAAATAAAAAGAAGGGTACAATGGGGTACACTTGATAAACACGTACCCAAGGTAGATATCTCAGGCTTATCGGCGTTGGTCTGCCCTGGATTAAAATCTGGATAAGACCTGAAAAACTTCAAGGACCCCCCGAGGCGCTAAACCCAATTAGCAGACGCGTACCGTTGTATAGGCGGGGCAACCACCCAACTCCTGCGGACCCCTCAAACCCCTCCACCCCTCCACCCCTCCATAAGTATTATCTTACCGCTCAAATTTCTCCTCCTCCTCCTTTTCCCTCCCCTCCTCCCTTCCTCAACCCTTTAACCTCTCCCAATTCCCTTCATCCTCTATTTTCCCCTCTTTCCTCCCACCGAAAAATCCTTCCATTCCTCTCCTCCATTCTTCAATCAACCCAATTCCCCCTCCCCCCCCCCCCCATATCCCACATCATGGCTGCTCCCGCCCACACGTTCAAGGTCGCCGACCTGTCCCTTGCCGCCTTTGGCCGTAAGGAGATCGAGCTCGCCGAGAATGAGATGCCTGGTCTGATGCAGATCCGGGCCAAGTATGCCGTCGACCAGCCTCTCGCGGGCGCTCGTATCGCCGGCTGCCTGCACATGACCATCCAGACTGCCGTCCTCATCGAGACCCTGACCTCGCTCGGCGCCGAAGTCACCTGGACTTCGTGCAACATCTTCTCCACCCAGGACCACGCCGCTGCTGCCATCGCCGCTGCCGGTGTCCCCGTCTTTGCCTGGAAGGGCGAGACCGAGGAGGAGTACAACTGGTGCCTCGAGCAGCAGCTGAACGCCTTCAAGGACGGAAAGAAGCTGAACCTCATCCTCGACGACGGCGGTGACCTGACCTCGCTCGTCCACAGCAAATACCCCGAGATGCTCGCGGACTGCTACGGCGTCTCCGAGGAGACCACCACCGGCGTCCACCACCTCTACCGCATGCTCAAGGATGGCAAGCTCCTCGTGCCCTCCATCAACGTCAATGACTCGGTCACCAAGTCCAAGTTCGACAACCTCTACGGCTGCCGCGAGTCCCTCATCGACGGCATCAAGCGCGCGACCGACGTCATGGTTGCCGGCAAGATCGCCGTCGTTGCCGGTTTCGGTGACGTCGGCAAGGGCTGCGCCATGGCCCTGGCCACCATGGGCGCCCGCGTCCTCGTCACCGAGATTGACCCCATCAACGCCCTCCAGGCCGCCATGGCCGGCTACCAGGTCACCACCATGGAGAAGGCCGCCAAGGTCGGCCAGATCTTCGTCACCACCACCGGCTGCCGTGACATTTTGACTGGCGAGCACTTTGAGGCCATGCCCAACGATGCCATTGTCTGCAGTACGTAGTAGTCGTCCACATATTTCTCTCCCCCTCCCATGTGTCTCCCCCACCTTCCTTTTGTTTCTTTTTTTTTTCTTTCTTTTTTTCCCAGCCATCGATACACATTCACTAACCTATTCCCCCCACTCCAGACATTGGCCACTTCGACATTGAAATCGATGTCGCCTGGCTCAAGGCCAACGCCCAGAGCGTCCAGAACATCAAGCCCCAGGTCGACCGCTTCCTGATGAAGAACGGCCGCCACATCATCCTCCTGGCCGAGGGCCGTCTCGTCAACCTTGGCTGCGCCACCGGCCACTCCTCCTTCGTCATGTCTTGCTCCTTCACCAACCAGGTCCTCGCCCAGATCATGCTCTACAAGGCCAACGACGAGGCCTGGGGCAAGAAGTACGTCGAGTTCGGCAAGACCGCCAAGCTCGATGTCGGCGTCTACGTCCTGCCCAAGATCCTCGACGAGGAGGTCGCCCGTCTGCACCTTGCTCACGTCAACGTCGAGCTCACCCAGCTCACCAACGTCCAGGCCGACTATCTCGGTCTGACCGTCGAGGGTCCCTTCAAGAGCGATATGTACGATCCTTCCCCCATCCTTCCCCCATCCTTCCCCCCTCCCTCCCTTTCCCTACCTCCAACGACAATGGGTTGTTCCAATTTCCGCTAACTTGCTCCCCTGCAGCTACCGCTACTAAGCGAAAACCCCTTCGTAGCACCAAACAAAACCCCTCAGAACGTCCTTCTTCAACACCTCCTACTAATGACTTCAACGACTTTACACGGCTCGTGGCACCACGAACTGGGAAAGAGGCAATCTGTGTTCTCAACACCATGAACTTGCATGACAGCACGCACAACCGATCTGGGAAAAAGGAAGGCAAAGAGGGTTTATTTCCTCAGGGCAGGGTAAGGGCATCTTCTTTTTTTTTTTTGTTCAGGGATGGGCATTTAAAACGCGGTTTAGCTGCGCCGGGCAGCGAAGGTCTGTTTTTTTCAACAAAAAAACGGCGTTGGCTTGGCGAAGAAACAAAGATTCCCCGGAACCATCATGGCATTTGCGGTTTTTCGTCTCTTTTTGTTTTATCGGGTCTCTTTTTTTTTCCACATTTACATTATACGGCTTGTGTCCACTAGACTGGACCAAGAAGAGGAGAACAAAGAGAACAGCCACGGGTGGCATCTCTTCATTTAGAGAGGCCTCGGGTGCTTAGGCGAGAGGAGGTAGGGCCCGTCAACCGAGGCCACGCAATGATGCTTAGAGAATACTATCGCATTGCAAGAACTATTTCTTTGACACATTAACCGTGCCCCGACTCTAAGAATGACGGTTTTGAAGACCCCTTACAAGGAGCAACACACAGAATGCGCGGTCATTTATTTGATGTGATGTCCTGAGCAGGGAGCCTCTGATAGAAGCCATGCGGCAAGGAGAACGTGTAGCATGCTTAGATACTGCACTATGTATCGGGCCCAGCCGATTGCTGGCCGCTCTGCCACCGTGACAAGAGCTCGGATCCTAGATCCCGTTTCTATGCCTCTCTCAACATCATACAACCCTCAGGCAAAGAAAATGCGCCCAAGGCACACCCAACCTAATCCCCTAGTCCAAACCCCTTTCTTTATGCTTTGGTGGGAGGCTTCAGAGCCCTTTCCACCCCTAATCATACATTTTTTGCACAGGGATCCCGTGGCCCCCAATGTGCGAGATGCAACAAAATGCGACCGCAGCTCAAACGGGCCGCGTCTTGATGGTAGCTACCCGTACGCCAGAAGAAGAAGAAAAAGAAATTGCGCAAATATAGACATTGGCTTGGATGCAAACCTCCGTCCCCCTTTTCGTACCGGATGACAACTGATGAAATCACTTTTGTTGAGCTCCTCTGACAACCCTAGAGATGCAGTGGAAAAAAAGACACACCACACACCGTGTAAAAAGAACATTGTTTGAAAAGGAGGAAAAAAGAAAAAAAGAAAAAAAAAAAGGCCGGGCTCGTGGAGGCCGAAAAGAGGGAGGAAACAACTTTGAGAAAACAAGAAACGTAACAAGGATAAAAACTTGCTCAACTCGGGACAATGCCAGGGCTGACAACGTTGGCAACGTTGACCCCCGGATTGATAAAAGCCTGGTTCGCCAGCTCGCTGAACCGCCGCACCACATTCGTCGTCCCCCCCGTGGCCTGGGCTTCCCTCCTGATAAAGTCGCACGCCACGAAGAGCTTGTTCTTGGGGTCCGACTCGTCCACGTGCTGCGGGACGGCGTTCTCGTAGCCCGGCGGGTACCGCGGCGCGAGCTCGCGCGCGATGGCGATGGAGTACAGCAGGTCGCGGTTCTCGCGGCCGTCCAGCAGGAGGCGGAGCCGGCCGAGGGCCTCCTCGCGCTGCGCGGTGCGGTGGAGGTTCGGTTCGTCACGGAAGGTGACGTAGTCGCCCAATGTCCGCCAAAAGTCGAACTCCCGCGTCCGGTGCAGATCGACGTGGGCGACCGGTGGGGCTAGCGGGTTGGAGTCGATGTGGTCGCCGCTCAGGAGGACCTCGAAGACGTGGACCCGGTTGCGGATCTCGACGGGGTCGGCCGGGTGAGGGAGGCCGTTGACGGAGTTGTTGACGCGGGGAGGGCTCATTGTGTACGGGAGAGCCGCTAGGACCCAGATCAGGCGCGCTTCGAGAATGCCCGATGACAACATGCTCGCCCGGTCGTCCGGCCGCGTCGTCTGGATGGCCTGGAGGAACGTGGCGAAGTGGTCAATGGCGGACTTGTTGTTGGGAAAGGTGTGGTTTCCCTTTGCGTCCTTGACGTCGAACCATGTGGTTTCGAAGAATGCGTTCAGCCCGTAGACGTAAATCTCATGGTACACCCGAGTGATTTCCCTGAACAGGTCATCTGTCAGAGGGGTGTCACGGATAGGTGGTGACGGGCCCAAGAGGCCGATGAGATTGTCGACTTTCATCTTCTTTGCTGGATGGGTGTAAGTCGGGGGACGGGAGAAGGACGGGGGAAGGGGGAGATAGAAGGGAAGGGGAAGGGAAGGCCAACCTCTAAGGTGAAAGTAGCCGCCGGGTGTAGCAGATGGTAACGTGCTAGACGGCGGTATGGGATGAGGACCGGATCCCTGGTGGCCGTCCGGCTTGGGTGCAACGAAAGGGGCGGTAATGGCGGGATTGGTAGGTCCGTTGGATGTTCCTAATGTGCCGTAAGAGCCCGTGACGACGGCAGGTTGGGACCCGTACGGGTTCGAAGGAGGAAACGGTGTGGTGGAGAGCGTCGAGGAAGGCACACCAGGTGCCGAGGTTGGAGGTCGGTTGGTGGCCAGAGTATGAGTATGATGTTGGACGTCTGAAGTGGCCTGTTGGGGTTTGAAGACGGGATCATATCCTGCACACTCCCGCTTCGACTTTCGGCAGTTGTTGCAGGTGGGTTGGCCCTCGTCGCACTGGCACAAAAATGTTAGAAAAAGACGGCTTCGGCTCCGATGTGGAAAGATGGTGAATATGTAAGACGGGACAGAACTGAATGGTTGAGAGGGTCCAAAGTGGAAAAAGAGGGAAAAAATTCGAGAGTGATGTAAGTGTGGGAGAGGGAGCTCAGGTGGCGCATAACTGAGGTGATAAGATAAGAGCGATAATAGGTGATGGGGTGCGTGATGTGGTGTGGGTGGTGAAAAAGATCCCCAGTCAAGAAGTACCCAAGTACTTCCGGCAGCGAAGGCCCGGGGATCCAGCGGGTCGGGACGAACTGGCGGGGGATGTATTTCCAGTTGGCACAGACTGGCAGGCCGGCGCCACGGTCCGGTAACAACTTCCAGTTTTCTCGATCCTTGCTCCGTCGCGTCGACGTCGACCGAGCGGTTTTGACGCGATGGATATTTCGCCAGAAAACGCCGGGACGAGAGAATGCCGGCATTGGTGGTTGTTTTGTCATTGTCTTCATTCCCTCTCTTCATCGCCTTCTCCCGTTTCTGTTTCTGGTTCCGTTTCTGGTTCCTGCTCTTTTGTCCCCCTAGGCTTCTATACACATTCGTTCGGAACGGGAGAATGAAGACGCGGTCGTTCGTCTCTGTCTCGGCTGAAACAATTCATGCTGGGAAACGCTTGATAGGAAATAGACGAGAAGAAAATGTACGGTTACCCACCTTGATTCTGCGTTTCCGACAGGTTAGACAACCTGTTTTCGTTCGACGTTTGATTTCCTAAACGAAAGAAACAACGTCGGCTTCATCAGTAAACGAACCCAGAAAAGGTTCCCGTCTCTTCCTCGTAGCCCGACTGCTCATCATACCTTCTTTTGGCCTCGAGGAGTGTTCGCAAACCGAGGGTCTCCGTGGGGAGGGATCGCGTATCGCATGCCAGCTGGGTCGGATGGCAAAGAATACAATGTATTGTGCGGCACAGCCATGGAACCATAGTAGTGCATGTTTTGCGAGTAGGGCACGGCTACTTGTGTGGTCGACGCCTGCGGCGGTTGTTGTAGTGGAATATGTTGTTGTTGTTGTGGTTGTTGTGGTTGTGGTTGTTGTGGTTGTGGTTGTTGTGGTTGTTGTTGTTGTTGTGGTTGTTGATGATGATGATGTTCTTGTTGTTGTGGCTGCTGATGGTGCTGATGATGTTGTTGGTGTTGTGGTTGGTGTTGTGATGGCGGTAGTGGCGGTAGTGGCGGTTGTGGTGGTGGTGGTGGTGGTGGTGACTGGTGTTGTGACGGGAGAGGATCAAAGCTCTTCACGCTCGGCAAGGACACCCCGGAGCTCGTTCGGTATGGTTCGGAGGAGGGAGGCTGCGCCTGCGTGGAAGGCACCATATGGTTATGGTGCAGCTGGCCGCCCACCGGCATGCCAGGCGGAGATTGAGAGCCCGTGGAGCTCGCGAAATTCGAGAGAGGGAAGCTTGGTGGTAGGTACCGGCTGTTAGCCATGGAGGGCGAGGAGGACGACTTCGCGTCGTCGCCGTTTGGCTGGCAAGTTGTAGTTTCGGATGGGGGAGCCGTCGGCGCAGGGGCAGGAGTCGGGGTTGAGAAGTCGGGGAGGGACGAGGAGGCGGCGGCGGCGGCGGCGGCGAGGATGGCGGCGGCTGGGTCAGATGTCGATGGTAATGGGTCGGATGGTGCGGTGGTGGTGGCAGTGGTAGTGGTAGTGGTAGGTTGAGGAGTCGAGTCGGCACCGTTGACACCGTTGACACCGTCCACAATAGTGTCGGTAGCAACTGGGACAGTAGTAGTAGCAGCAGCAGCAGCAGCGACGACAGCAGCAAGAGCAACAGCACACTCTGAAGCAGCATCAGTAGCAGGAGTGTCGTCGGAGGTAGCTGTCGTAGTAGCAGTAGCAGTCGTACTTGTGGTCGTGGTGGTAGTCGTAGTCGTAGTAGCAGTAGCCGTTGGACTCGTGGTGAGGATGGTATCGGGGTTAGGAGTGGTGGTGGTGGATGTGTTGCTGGTGGTGGCCGTTAACTTGTCGGTCTTGGGACTGGACGAGTTGGCCGACGCAGCGGCGTCACCAGCGGCCTCGGAAGGGATGTCGTCAGGAGTCATTCTTTTGGGGGGGGGGGGGGTGTGCTTTGATTAGTTTTTTTTTTTATGGAGAGCCACGAACAATTCGACAATCTCTCTCGACTCGCTGGGTCAATCGGGAACGAGGGACAAGGGGTAGAGAACTCGGGCAGAGTCGCGCGACACGGTACGCCCACCTGCACCTGGAACTGTTTTTTACCCCCTACCCGTCAAGAGAGTTGTAACCATACACCCCCCTGGCCCCAGATAGGCGAGAGACCCCAGTTGGCAGGTCCTCTCCCCTAGTCTAGTCGTCCCCAACAGGATGTACGGGTAGGTAGGTACTTGTTCCGTGCGCAGGACGCGGTGGAAGCAGTAAAAGGAATGGGAGCAGGGGGGAGGCGTGGCAGTAGCAGTCGCAGTAGCAGTAGCAGTCGCAGTAGTAGTCGCAGTAGCAGTCGCAGTAGCAGTCGCGGTAGCAGTCGCGGTAGCAGTCGCAGTCGCAGTGGCAGCTGTGGCCGTGGCTGTGGTTGTGGTCGTGGACGTGAGGTCTGTACGGACAGTTCGCGTCTAGGGTAGTCTTGAAGGCTGAGAACCACAAGAATGATGGTGGGTGGTAGCGTGTGGTGGGTGGTGCGCGGGCCAGGCCAGGCCCAGGGGTTGATGGGAGAGTGGTATACGGTGGTATTTAGCGCGGGTGGACCTTTCGGGTTTGCTCAAGAGAGAAGAATTAGGGACATCCGATGGATGGGGTGGGTGCCGATGCATGCGCAGATGCAGCAGAGCCGTGAGAAGTGGTCGTATAGTATCGACTTGTAAAAAGAACGCGTCGACGGCAGAGACCAATGCGCCATGGAGTGGATAGAAAAGTTAGTCAGCATGGACGGGCTCCGGTATATTGATTATTTTTGTCTCGTCGTTGCGATTTGCTCGTGTTACCATAGAGGAGAATGGGGAGAGAGAAAGAAAAAGGAAAAAAAGAAATGAAGAAAAAAGTAAGAAAATGGACCTAGTACGGTACTTAGGTGCTGGTGGGTATGCAAGTACTGAGAATATACGATCTACTCATGAAAAGTACTTGAGGTCGAAGGTACTTCCTAGCTCCCACGTCTCCGGCCTCGACAAAGTACCTTAGTACCTTATGGTCATAGCTCTCTCTCGTGCACACATCTCATCTTATCAACGGATACTGAGATACTTCTAATTTACCACATCACATCTTGATGACTTGTCGCGTATCGGGTAGTTCATCGCATCTAGTACGTTGTACTTGACACCTTATGAAGAACCATATTGGCACCGGTTTCCTTGTTCTTGCTTCCGACCTATAGCTACCCTTAATATATGTTGCCCGCTAACTTCAGGCCGGTGTATTCGTATACCTTCCGTACTGCGTACGATATACTCCGAGTTCTTGACCGATCTAATCAGTCTCCGGACACGTTGAAACTTTCACCACACTCGTGGGTCTTTTTTGTTCGATTTATAAGGTAGCTATCTATGTACTCTACTCTATATACGCACCGAGGGCGGAGAGTGAGACACGGGCAGGGTGTGCCCCTAGAAGTACGAAATGATCTTATGGGGCTCTTTGTACACGTACATACACTAAACTCGGGCAGGCACTTCCACATGGATCAATCAATATTGGGCAAATCACAAATGACGAATGGCGAATCGTTAACGGCTACTCGCCTAATGGCACATGGATCCTGAACTACCGTATATACATAAGCCCGAGGCGTGGTGAGAGATGCTTCTGCTTCTGCTTGTGCTTTCTTATTCTTTTTCTTGTTCTTCCTTGACGGAAATGAGTTGGGATACTCCCGTCTATGATCCTAGGGTGGTAATATTGTCGGCTCATCAATGTCATCATCCGTCAATGACACGAGATCTACTGCGGATGCAAGTCGTTCTTGCCGCGGAGACAAGCGTCGAAAGGAAGACCGATATCCTGATTTTCGGTATATTCGGTGTATTCGGTATTATTCTGCACCTGCATCTGTACGGAGTAAGGTACAACGCTGAGAATGGCTACACCAGATGTACGTCTGTACGTTGTAGCTTACCTTAGTTATTCGTGGATTTTGGGGGTACCTACGGCGTACTCCTAACGCGGCGTTTCGGGTCTCCACTTGCTGCTACCTAAGGTACCTACCTACCTATTAAGAAGTAGGTACGTATCCGCGCAATAATTGTTCTTATGGATTATATAATCCGGAATTTCGGCTTGTTATTCCTAGGTACGAAACCGTGAACGAAGTGACGAAGCTGCCTCCGTAGGTAATCTTCCACCATAAGGTAGCTCACGGTCTCACCTGCCTCATCCAAGACCTTCTGCGACCTCCTTCTGCGACCTCCTGCAACCGTCTCCTTCCACGCCTCTCAGTCTCCCTACGCCGTGGTCTCTTCTTCTTGCTCGTTTCTGATCCAGAGCGAGTTCACCATCTTCCTCCTCTATTCCTTTTCCTCCCTATCCATCGGAGTTCCCGTATCGCATTCCGTTTCCCTCTCCAGGCATAGGCCCCGAAGGTCGCCGGACAACCAACTCCTCCTGGATTGCATTGCCTCTTGTTTCCCGCTTCGCTTCTGCAAGGCCTTTGCCGATCTCGAACGATGCTGACCGGCTGCCGGCACAAGACTCGAAGAAATAGCCGGAGGCGTTTCATGACTTTCATTCTCCAAACCTCCAACATTCTTCTTCAGAATGTCCCCTTTCTCAAGCCTTCACTGAGGACCCTCTTCCCTGACCAACCCTCCCCTCCCCTCACCAGGATCACCCGTCTATCTAAACTCCCTCGGCACTACGTCAATACGATCTACTAGTTGGTTGGCATGCAGGAACATGCAAGCTTCTCCTTCGCCTCTCTTAGCTTCTTTTCGCCTCTTTTTCCGCCTCTTTTTCTAGGCCCATGGCTGCTTCGGTCACCACCCCGGAAATGAACCCCCCCCCCTAGAGTCTCGGCTGTTGATCCTGGCCAATCCTCCAAGCCACCGTGGCTATACTCAGTAAGAACTAAGAACGTTATTTTACTCATATCGGCAGTCATTCGCTTCTAGTAGCATTCGAAGTTTGGAGATGAGAAACCAGCTGCGCGGGCTTCTCCCTTCTCCGCGTATGTCACTGCGCATCCGGATATTGAACTAACTGGACTTGATCTCGGCGGGCCGGCCCACCCATACTCAATGACATTTGGACACCTGTCAAGACACGTCCGTATGAGGTCTGGAGTATAGGCGACCCTGTACGATCAAGCGGACTGATCTTGATTCCGTACAGGAGTGGGAGTGGGAGTGGGAGTGTGCAGCTCGGACCACCTGTTCGAATAATCACCCCTAAACATCCGTACGAAGTTGTACCATTGCTCGTTCCAATGGATGGGATCCCTTGCTCGTTTTGTTTCAAGCGAGAAGGGTTGGATGGACCCAGCATCGGCTCGTGGGCATCCCGAAAGCCTCGTCCCCACCTACCGAAAAGGCGAATCAAAGCGAACCGTTCTTCGCAACCCCTGCCCATGACAGAATGCCATGGCCAGCTCTCTGAGCCGCCGGCACCTGTCTCGCTCTGTCTTACAACGTACAGTCCTAGCGAACAACGACACATGGGAACGGCGGATAGCGAGAGCGTGGCATGAGAGGTGCAAGACAAGTGACAGACTTGGATGACATTGACGCCCACCCCAATGGACCGCACGCGATGAAAGGGACACAGGCTGTGCCCAAATTGCCTTGGTCGCGGCTCTGTCAAAGATTCGCCCAACAGGAGGTCTTACCGGTACGGCCGCGCTTGGGCTTGGCACGGGTTTATTTCGCTCAGACGCCACGCCCTCCCGGCCCTGTTCCTGTTCTTGTCCTCCCTTTTATTCCTGTCCCTTTTTGCTTTTGCTTTTGCTTTTGCTTTTGCATGCGCACGGACTTTTGCCAATACCTTCTGTGCAATGTCCAATAGTACGTTGTACGTGCCTTGTCCTCAAATACTGCCTCTCAACATGCTGTCAGGATTCGGGACCAACTTGTCATCGGGGCAACTCGGTACAAATGCAGTCATTCTTCGCTTCTGCTGCTCTGGAAATCGGGAATTATTGGAGCTTAATATAGGAGCAATTGCTTCCATTCCTACCGGCAGTTCGAGGCCAGACTAGAACAATTCCTACCATCTCACGGGAGCATGAGCCGGGCTTCCCGTCAAGTCGGATTCCAGGTACACCAGACCGTCGGTGTCGGCCCAGTCATCCCAACTTGGCATGCCAACCCACCAATGCTTCTTGCTTTCCTCCGCCTACCGTACATACGCTCAGGCTTGGGAGGAAGAAGGGGTGAAGGGGTGTATGTAGGTATAGGGGAGGCCCGCCGCCCCAGTGGTCCATCTTTCGGAGCCGCTACCGCGAGCGATCTCCTCTCAGGGCCCGGAGCTTTTTGTTTTCTCCACCCTTCTTCGTTCCCGACTCTCCGACGACCACTCGATGCACGCTCCGTTCAGTTCAGGCTTTGGCATCGTCGGTATCTTTTTCCCTTTTTTTTTTTTCCTATTTTTTTTTTCTTTCCCTCTTCCCCTAGTCGAAAAAGAAGCCTCGTTTATCAGTGCTTGATCGGGAATACAGCGCCGATCTCAAAGTTGCTTGATGGAACGGAAGGCGGGATCAGGTTCTCGAAACCGTCTCGGTGCGCTAGGCCCCCCCCTTTTCTTCCTGCATGGCGCTCACTTGAGAAGGTACAATGCCTAGAAAAGTAAAAGACACGACGACAGGACAGGGACACGCACACACAACATACAACGTACAACGTACTCACACGCACACACGCACGCACAGACCTTGGGCCTTTCTAGGGCTTCTGGTTAGAACCAGACTTGCTTCTGGCCGGTTCAGGCGCTTTATCCTTGCTGCCAATGTAACCGTCTATCAACGCGTTCCTGACGATCCCTTACCTTGAACGTTGCCCTGTAGCGAGCCCTTTCTCCGGTTCCCTCTTTTGCCGCCGGCAGGTACAGTAGACGCGAAAGAGCCTATGATGCCGCACCACGTCCCTGTCTGACGCTGCATGGATGGACCAACGGGCGTCAACACAAGACTTGCATACCTATACACGCACAAACACACGCACACACGCACACACACTCTCTCTCTCTCTTTCTCTCTCCATACACCACCACACGCAGACCGGGCCCCCCGTCAACAACACTCGGAACTCGTGTAATCTTTCTTTCCGAGTCTGGAGGATAGGGTCCGGCCATGTACACATACGGCACCAGGCACACCCAGCCGCAGGAGCCGGGTTGAACGACAATCTGGTTCGGTAGCCGGGAGAAACAAGCCACCCACCTCCGGCTGAAGGCAACCGTTGTTTTAGGCATTTTCTGCCGCTGTCGCCCAGTAAATTGTGGCTAATGAATCAAGGATTATAGGGGCTGTTGCCTTGGTCCTTCGACACACACACGCGGCACACACTCTGTCTGCAGAACAAGCGGGTTGACACTGGGACTTTGGATTTTCCGCAGCTCGGCTCGTCAAATCTTCACCCATTCATTCATTACGAGAGGAAAGTTGTGCCCTTGGTTTCCTGGACCCCTTCTCGTCTCTACTTTAATATTGCAACTTTTCGTTATAAAGAGCTGGGTAAGGGACGAGAGAAAACCGAGATGCCTGGTTTCGATGAGCGTTCTGTTCACACGTCTACAACGCAACCACGACACGAAGACTCGAATTACAGCGGATGGACGAACAAAGGAAATGAGTGCCTCAAGGTGAGAGTCGTATGTACATCTAGATTGTTTTTACATTCAAAAACTAACTGGTTTTCTGGGCACCTCAGCCTGATGTGCAGTGCCATACATGGATATGTATGTCGGCACAGTATATATATATATGAACACCCAGACTGTCCCTTGTTCTCTTCCGGCTCTGCCTCTCCCCAGTGTACCAGAGACTCTGAGTAGCCAGAGGTGAGAGAGAACTCGTCCCCTTACACCTCTTACACGCGCTTCTGGCAAGTAGCCTGCCAGGTCGAGCCAATCTCACCCCAGCGCATGTTGGCGAAGGTGACGACCGGGTTGGGCTCAATCTGGACAATGTTGCTGGGCGCGCCCTCGGTGGCGTTGCAAGGGCCGTTGCCGTCCGCGGCGCCGTCGAGCCAGCTCATGTAGCCGCCCTCGTCCCACCAGAGGCTGAGGGCGAGGACCATGCCGCGGGTCATGGCGGCGCCCATCTCCTGGTGGCCGCCGAGCTCGAGGAAGCGGCGAGCGCCGCCGGTGGCCTCGCAGAACTCGTCGTTGGTGTAGTTGACCTCGGGCATGTCGTCGCGGCGGACGACCTCGGAGCGGATGAGGCGGCCGTCCTGGACGTAGGCGCGGTGGATCTCGACCAGGTTGCCCTCGGCGTCGGCGGGGAAGTTGGTGATGACGGTGAAGGGCTTGGTGGTGTCGACGGTGAAGTCGTCGCCGCGGCCGTAGTAGTCGTCCTGGCCTACGCGGTAGGTGTTCCAGCTGCAGCCCCACTTGTCGCAGACGCCCTCGAACTCGCACTCCTCGCCCTCGCACTCGAAGACCTGTGTGATGTTGCAGGGGTGGGGGGCGATGAGGGTGGAGCGGGAGTTGGCCTCCCAGATGTCCTATGTTTTGTTAGTTCTTTGTTCTGTTGTGTTGTTTCTTTTTTCTTCTCCATTTTTCTCCATTTTTCTTCTTTTTTCTTCTTTTTTCCATTTCCAATTTTGGGTTGTTTCAATGACCTCCCGTCTTTCTCCCCCTTTACTCCCCTCCTGTTTCGGTGACGGGACAAGGTGTCTTAGGGAGGGAAAAGTTCTTACCAGCTCAGGACAGCACGAGCCGCGACCCGCGACGTTACCCTGGCAGAATTGGTCAGCTTTCTGGTTAAAAAAGAAAAAGACAAAAAAGACAAAAAAAAAAGAAGAAAAAAAGGGGAGGGGGCGCTCACCTCCCCATTGATGAAAGGAGTGACGTAGCACTGAGCATCGCAGTATCCAGTGCCAAAGTTGGCACCGCCCTGGTTCAACTCGCTCTTGGCGCCGTCCTGGAGCATCTCGGACAGGTAGAGGGCGCTGTTCATGCCGCAGGGCAGGCGCGACACGTCGACGTCGAAAGTAAACTCGGCGCCGGTGAGGTGGACCATCTCGTAGTTCTGCTTGTCCTCCTCGAGGAGGTAGACGCGCGGGGTGACCAGCTGGCCGTCCCTGAGCTGGTACAGGGTCATGGAGTCCCCCTCGGTCTCGATGCCGTAGACGGAGTAGTCCGGGATGGCCTCCATCAGGCAGTTCTCGGCGCACTCCTCCTTGGTGGTGCAGGCCTCCTCGGGCGGGGGGTTGCCCCAGGTGCCGCAGCTGCCGCCGTCGGAGGCGCGGTAGACCGGGTGGGCGAGCGAGTCGAGGACGAGGTAGTTGGTGTGCTCGGTGCAGCCGTCGGCGACGGTGCAGCGGTAGGTCTTGATGGCCGGGTGGTTGTCCTCGCCGCCGATGGGTTTCTGGGCGACGGCGGCACCGGCCAGGAGGGTGGCGGCCAGGCCGAGGGTGTTAAGAGAGCGCGTCATGATGGAGGAGGAAGGGGAGGAGGAAGTGTGTGTGTGTGTGTGTGCGTGCGTGCGTGTGTGTGTCTACGTGGTTTGCTCACTGAAGTGAGTGAGACAGAGAGACAGAGAGAGAGACCACACAGAGGAGAAGGGAGGTGATCTGCTTCCCCAAGGTGACGATCGTCCCCCAGATATAAACAGCTGGACATGCCGAGACACTCATTTCCCCCGCATGGAGCTCCCCCAGATACTGCGCCGAAGCCAACCCCATTACAGGTTATGGAAGTTCGCCCTCCGGACCAAGACGACCAAGACCACCAAGACGCGGACCAGAGAGGTGGAAGGGGTTGGCGTGCCGAACGGATACCAGGGGTTCAGGGGGATAAGCGAGGAGCTAGTACTTTGTGCCAGCAATTCAGCAGTACGCTGTAGGAGTTCCCTAACAGTAATTCATTACCAATACCAATGGGCCGGGGCAGGGCAGAGCCATGCGTACGAATTCCCTGCTTCGTACTTTGCGGTGGGGGGGACCTTGAAGGATGTGGGGGAGAGAGCTTGGTGGACAAGACGGGCATTGCGGGCCAGAAAACCGCACACCGACCAGGGTTCGGCACATGTGTTCTGCGACTGTATGCCATTTTCTGCGGTCTTCTGCATAGTGGTGACAGGGATGAAGTGGCTGGGCGCACAACGTAATCAATGACCGGGTGGTTCGTTCCTGAATGGACTCGGCGAGGACATCCGAACCGCGCAAGGGGCATTGGCTCCTGAGAAGCTTGGGATCACGATCCCCCTTTGGGGATCCCCACGCTCATCGCCTCGCGTGGATCATATGGGATCTATCCGTACCGTGCGTACCCGTACCACTAAAAGCACTGAAACTAATAGCCAATACCTAGTTAAGCGAGAGTCAGAGGCGGGATGTGGTGGGTGATGCGGTGATGCCTTGTAACGAAGTACGTTGTAGGTACGCTGTATTCGTGAAGGTCAAGAAGTTGGTGGTTGTCGAACTAAGGTACCTTATGAATGCCTTATGAATGCATTGCCTTTGAAAGAGTACGAATATACACCAAACTGCTAATGAAATTGTCACTCAATGCATCCCAAGACGCATGATTTTGCTCTTAAAATAAATAGGCCTTCCATACTCGACTTTCGGATCTCATGGAAAACGAAGCCGGCGGTTAAGTCGGATGGGACAGATTATTGGCCCAGGGGCAGATTCTCCATCGGACGCTAAGACAAGGAAGGTAACTTTCCCCTGGCCCCAAGTCCCAGGTCCCTGTTCCAGGCACATTTTTCTGCCTCGGAATCATGTACCCCGTACAGTATCGGCTCCGTACCTTGATTAATTACTTCGTACTGTAAAGTGCCGATGCACGTGGGAATTGCATGTACAACGTACGGATTGGGTGTGGATAAGGGGTAAGTAAGGTACGTTTGATGTACGGAGTACGGATACTCTGTACTCCGTATGGCAATTTGACACCGTACGAAGCTATTTCGCACTTTGTACTTTGTACATATAACGGCCTAACGGCGCGGGAGTGGCTTCGTCTGGTGGCTTGGTCTCATTTAAGGTAAGGTACCTGAGGTGCGGCACTTTGGGGAACGTTGTTGCCGACTGGCTAAACCATGGGCCACGAGCCACCAGCCCCAAGGGAAGAATTACCTTAGGTAACGATGGGGAAAGCTCAGATGACGAGGCCTGTATAAGATACCTTACCTAGGTAGAGTACCGCCATGCTAGGTACCTTACCTAAGGTAGTCGATGCCCCACCCCTTTTTATCTGATACGTAAGGTAATTAAGGTACCTACTAGCCCCCTCCATTGCTCTTTCCCTCACAGAGGCAGTGAGCGGATAGCGGATCATCAGCATCATCACCCAACTCGGGTAGCAGCACCACCGAACCAGGTCAGAACGGCCCTCCCACGGGACCATCCGTGTGGTTCTCCACAATGCATCCCAGTCCCATCGTACGAAGTACGTGGTAAACCCCATGGTTGACTGTTACTCGGCATCCCATCGTGGCTTTCGTCGTCTCGCCATCGCCGTCTTTCCACGGTCCAGAGTCAGACAGACGTGGTGACCATCCAAAGCGATCCCGAGATCGAAGATCGATCAGCGGGCAGCATCTGTGCAACTTGCAACTTGCGGATACGAAATGCCGAAATCATGTTCCTCTCAGACAGCCAGACAGCCAGACAGCCAGACAACCAGACAGCCAGACAACCAGACAGCCAGACAACCAGACAACCCGCTGATGCATCATTGGGATCGCTGCATCAGATCAGACGCAAGTGCGTTCTCATCGCCCAAGGTGAAGTGAAGTTGGCATCCCGCTACGTTGCCCCTAGAACCCTCCGTTCACGGTTCAGCTTGGGGCCCCTTCCCTGTTCTCTTCACTTCGTGGGCTGACGATTTCGATGGGACAATCATTCTGTCGTCTGTCTTTAGATTTCCTGCTTCTGTGTCCAGTGACACAAAGTTTTCCTTTTCTTTTTCCTTCCTCGTCCGGGGCCATGACCGACCAACCGCGTCGAACTTATTGCGTTATAATATCAGGGCTTGGGCAGAGAAGTCTCGTTCGAGCCGAGCCGAGACATGTTCGAATGATGGCATGCTCAAATCGACCCATGCCCTAGGGATCTATGCACATTGATAGATTACGGTCAGGTGGCCTCGGTTGGCCACGGAGGCCTACCAGCTGGGCCTCGGTTTCCGGCACAACAAACGAAGAATCTCCATGCGAAGAACTGGGTTGCCGAGTATAGATCATCGTTTCTCCAGTTGCCAAAGTGAGTACCCTAATTCTGACCATGTTGTTCAGCTTCGGCTTCGAGGGAACCCACGGAAGAGAGTCAGTCTGCGCGAGAAACATCAGCTCGTATCGTCCGAGACTTCCAATCCTTCCATGGTGGTGCTGGCCATTCCCTTTTCATTCTTATTTTTGCCCCTCTGCCGAGCAAAAAGGTATGGACAAAAGATGGTTGTTGGCTCGCCAAGACGGTCCGTCACCTGGTTGGGAGCGAATCGCGCAACACCACGTCCTCGCCCAACCATCACCAGCCCAGTCTCTCGAATTCTCGCGTCGTTCTCTTTCCCTACTGGTTGCCTCGACTTCTGCGACTGGACCTAAGGCCTGGGAAAACACAAAATAGACCAGAAAATGAGTCAGGTTCTAGACACCTGCACCCCAATCACAACCGTCATACGAATACCAACGCACAACGCAACGACAACATGCGCCTGGTCTCTCTTCGGGTCCATCACATTGTCCCCTCCAATGGAGACCACGCAGTCATCCGCATCGCCGGAAAAAAAGAAAGAAAAACAGAAAACAGAAAACAGCAAACGAAGAGGTCGAAAAACGTGACCAGTAGAGACCCGACTCGTCCACACCTCTCCGTCCACATGGCTCCAGTCCTCCCGTTTACTCGTGGGTCCTGGGTCCAACTGTGTCCCCGACGACCAACGAACGACGACCCAACCGGATCACCATCTACTCATTCGCACATCCCGGGTTCCAGCAGCCACAGTGGTCATCTGCAGTGGCCATCCATCCAACCTCGACCTCAAGCCTCCCATGGCCTGGAATGTCTTTCCCCTCCCCCCTAGGCCGGGCGACTTCCACTTCGTATGTTGCCCACACCATCAGCCCATGAGGTCCATCGTTGTCTATTTTTTCACCCCTGTTTTTCTATTTTTCGTGTCGTGTGTGTCTATGCCCGCCCTCCAATGCAGGTACCCGATTGGCTTCGTTTGGGCCGCATGTTGCCCTGCTGAAGATGCCCAATCCGGTCGGGCACATCCAGACACGTCAGAGAGGGCGAGCGTTTACTAAGTGTTACTGAGGCTTTGCTTTTCTCGATGCCCTGCAGCTGGCTTTAAAGCCGTGCGTTGGGCTCGTGTGGCGGCTGCTCGTCTCCGTTTTCCTTGCCTTCTTCTTTCGTACAACGCCTCGCCTCGATCCAACATCTGTCGATCTTTCACTCGAAAACTCGCATCACGCTTTTCCCAAAACAACAGACGACATGCAGTATCTCCTCAACACATACTCTCACCCGACATCCAATGAAGCCAGCAACTCACACCTACGCCAAGCACCGCATACTCCCAGGATTTTCTCCTCACTTCGAAGATATACTTGAGCCGAACGCCCATCTCCCCTCGTCTCCAAACCGACCATCATCATCCACATTCTGAGAAAACAAAAGCAAAAAGCACCATGGCACCTCCCTATGGTGGCCACCAAGGCCCAGCCCCGGGCCGATCCGGCAACACCGTCTCGCGGTCTGCTGGCAACTCCAACTCCAACACCAATTCCAACTCCAACTCCAACACTAACACTACCAACTCGGGACGACGATTGTCCCTGTCTCAACCGACAAGACCTGCGCGGGACCTCCTCTCCAACATTTCGGAGGTATCAACTGTCTCCACGATGCCCAGTTTGGGGGCTAGCTCGGTGGCCAGCTCAACACGCCGAAGGAGAGGGAGACCGGCTGTCAGACCCCTCCGCTTCAGGCCCCCCACCATCCGATTCCGGTCCCGCCGGCCCGGTCATTCCAACTTGAGACCCAGGTCTCCTGCGCCGTACATACCTCCAGACCACTACCCATCTGACGACAACCGCTTTGAGTCCGACCCTGACTTCAAGTGGAGCTCGTCCAACCTCTCCAACCTCTCCGTCTCTACCGACGCTACCAGCATCCCATCGGACGACGCCACCACCAAGTCGATTCCGGATCTGCGCCTCGTCCGGTCGCGCACGCTTCCGCCTGCTCGTCGTCAGACTGCCTTGGACGTCCACCAAAAGCCACAGCAACAACGGTTGCAGGTCCAGCGGCACCACCACCAGCAGCACCACCAGCAGCAGCACCAGCAGCAGCAGCAGCAGCTCCAGCTCCAGCAACAGCAACAGCAACTCCAGCAACAGCAACTCCAGCAACAGCAACTCCAGCAACAGCAGCAGCAACCCCTTCAACAAGGGCGTGTCGGCATCTCTCTTCCTGATAGCCGCGGCAGGACTTACCACATCTCCGTGGCGCCGGGCCCGCTACAGAGGTCGCCGTCTCAACCCAAACTTCCCGAAGCTCCGCCCACCACCCACAAACGATCTCCTTCTCGCAAACGATCTCCTTCCCGGAAACGATCGGCTTCCCGCAAAAGGTCCCCTTCTCGGCAGAGGAGTGACCCCGCTCTCCTCAGCGAGATCCAGGGCCTGAAAGGTCGGATCAAGGACCTCCAAGAGTCAAGGGCATCATTGGCTAAAGACCTGGATGGCGCTCTTGCCAGATTGCTGGACTTCGAGACCGAGAAGCGTGACAGGGAGCGCCAGCTCATCAAAGAGAAAGAAACCAAGGATGCCCGCGCCCGCGATTTTGACAAGCAGAGCCAGCTACTCGCCGACACCCGGAGCACCCTAGATGAGCAGACCCGCAAGTACGGCGCGCTCGTCAAAGAATGTAGCGAGCTCCGAGAGGTCAAGGCCACCCTGGAGGCGAAAATCACTGCTCTCGACAAGGACCTGAGCCTGTACAAGGAGTACAAAGTCCTGCTGGAAACCAAATGCAACGACCTGCGTCAGGACATGAAGAAGCAGCACGACCGCTTCAAAGCCGAAGCCGCGAGACTCCAAAACGAAATCAAGGAGATCGAGACCCTCCGCAGGACCCAAGACGCCGCACACGTGGAACGCATCGTCAGCCTGGAGCTCTCCAAAGAAAACCTCCAGGCCAAAGCCGAGGCGCTCGAGGCCGAGCTCGGCCGCAAGGCTGCCGAGTTTGGACAGTTCACCGTCGAGCGCGAGCGGATGGCCAAGGACAAGGAAGGCTGGGCGGAGCAGAAGAAGAGCCTGGAGGATATCATCAAGAACCTCGAGACGGAGCGGAACAACATCCAAGTGCACTTCACCCAGTTCGAACAAGAGAACTTTGACCTGCGGTCCCGTGTCGAGGGCCTCGAGAGCGACAGGGAGTCCATGGTCGGCCAGAGCAGCAAGATGCAGTCCAAGCTCGAACGCCTCAGGGGGGATAACGCGAGCTTGCGGTCTCAGGTGTCGGGCCTGCTCAGGGACCAGGACGACCGCACTTCTCAGGTCCTGTCGCTCGCTGCTGAGCGGGACGAGCTGAGGGACGAGCTCCGGGCCATGTCGGAGGCCGGGAGCGTCGTGGGAGGGAGCGTGGTCGGCAGCATGGTTTCGTACAAGGCTGCTAGCAGGCCCCCCACCGAAGCAGGCAGCCGTGCCCCGAGTCGTGCCCCGAGCCGTGCTCCGAGCAAGGCGCCCAGTCAAGCTGCCAGTCGGGCTCCCAGCCGGGCTCCCAGCCAAGCCCCTAGCCGGGGCCCCAGCAGAGCTCCCAGTCAAGCCCCCAGCCAAGGTCGAAGTCAAGCCCCGAGCCGAGCCCCCAGTCAAGCCCCCAGCCAGGCTCGGAGTCGGGTCCCCAGTCAAATGGCCAGCCGGGCCGGCAGTGTACGCGCTCCTAGTCGTGCTCCAACCGAGCGGGGCAGTGTTCTCTCGAGGAAGGGCGAAGAGCTTGAAGAGAACGACAACCTGGACAGGGTGGCAGATGATGCCCGGAGCGTCATGTCGGATGCTACCGAGAGACCAGCCCCCGTCAGCAGCGAAGTGATTGTGGAAGCGCCAGCCGATGATCTCGCTCCCGACTCTGCTGCCGCTGCCGCTGCCGCTGCCGATGCTGCTGCCGATGCTGCTTCCCCGGCAGAAGGGGACGTCGCTGAAGCAAACCCACCCGGTAGTACCGTCGATGCGAAGGATGAAGAAGTCGCCGAGGCCAGGCCCGAGGCCAGGCCCGAGGCCAGGCCCGAGGCCAGTCTCGTCGATGGCAACCAGGGTGACGAGGTCGCGGAAGCCCAGGCCGAGCCAGAGGCGGTGGCGGTCGAGTCCGAAGTGGCGGCCGAGCCTGAACCTGCTGTCGAACCCGAGGTTGCCCCTGGTGCTGAGGTGGTTGTTGAGCCCGCGGCGGAACCAGACGTCGACGCAGAGCCTGCAGCCGCTGCGCCATCCGAGCCGGCGGCTGAGGCGGAACCCGAGGCTCCAGCTGAACCCGAACCTGCCGTCGAACTTGAGCCTGCCGTCGAGCCTGAACCTGTCGCTGAACCTGAGGCTGCCGTTGAGCCTGAACCTACCCCCGAGCCTGAAGCGGAGCCGGAGGCTGTAGTCGAACCCGTAGCCGAACCTGAAGCAGCACCTGAAGCTCCAGCGGAACCGGCAGCCGAACCCGAACCAGAACCGGCAGCTGAAGCACCCGCTGAACCCGCAGCTGAACCAGAACCCGAAGTCCCAGAGGAACCTCCAGCTGAACCTGAGCCCGAACTAGAGACTGCGCCTGCCCCCGAGCCAGAACCAGAGCCTAACCCAGCATCGGAGGTAGCCGAGGTTGTTCCCGGCGCCTTTCCAGAGACCACTTCCGATATTCAAGTGGCCCCTGAGCCCGAGCCGGCACCCGAGCTTGAACCTGCTGCTGCCGAACCCGAGCCCGAGGCCGAACGTGCGCTTGAGCCTGAGCCTGAACCAGAACCAGTTGCAGAACCAGTTGCAGAACCTGAACCAGAACCGGCGGCGCCATCTGAGTCACCCGAAGCCGCCGAACAAGCCGCCCTTCTCGCAAGCCTCCAAACCCAAAACGGCGATCTCGAGGCCCGCAACGCGCAGCTGCAAGAGGAAGCGGCCCGTGTCGCCATCCTGACGGTGGAGCGCGACGCGCTAGCCGAACGCCTGGTATCGGTGGAGCAGAACGCAGCACTGGTGCCGGGCCTGCTGGACGAGAACGGCGACCTGAGCACCCGGCTGGCGGACACGAACGCGCAGCTCGAGGCGGCGAGGGCGGCGCACTGCGCGGCGAGCGAGGAGGTGTTTGGGCTGCGGGCCGAGGTGGCCAGCTTGCGGAACAAGTTGGCGAGCGCGAACAGCGCGTCGAGCCCTACGCGGCGGAGCGGCAGCGGGGGCGACAGTAGGCGCAGTTCGAGGAAGGACGAGAAGGCGAAGCAGTTGATTGTTGTGCGGGACCCGGCTGACCGGAGCAATATGTGAGTTTCTCTCTTTTCTCTCTCTCTCTCTTTTTTTTTTTTTTTATATGTTTTCAGCTTTCCCCTGATTTCCCTTTTGTCCATCCACGACATGGTGTCCAGACAGACGAGTGCTAACTGTTGAACAGCCAAGTGATGCGCCGATGCGATCTCCGCCTCCACTCGAGGTCGGCCTCGCAGTCTGACTGATCGATACATTACATTTTTTTTGTTCCACGTTGGCTTTAAGCGCATGGTCTTTTGCTTTATTTTTTCCCGTTCTCTTCTCTGTTGTCCTTGATTTTGTTATTTGCAACTCGGCCGACGGAAAAGACGGCGGATGATAACGCTTTACGAACAATAACAACTGATGACGGATTTTGCGTATGCCTCGCAAGATCATGTACTTGGGATTTCTTTAATTTTGTTTTCATTTCCTTGTTTCACTCCCATGTACCATGTCTTTGTTTTATTTTGGGCTTGGGAAGGGATATAGATTGGGAAAGGAAAACACTCGTTTGGCATGGTACTGGCATTAGATGGTTCGGGTTAACATATGGGTAAAGACGGGCATGGGTATGGAATCAGGCGCCGGTCCCTCACGGGGTCGGCTGCTTGGGGGGATTATGATGGGATTTTTTGTATGCAACTAGGACAGACAGCTCACTCTTTTTCCTTTGTCGTAGTCGATAAATAATATTAATAGGATATGGTTTCCTTTTGTTGCAGAACCAGTTTGGAAAGTTGTTTGCTCCAAGGATGAAAAGAAAGCTCGATGTTGACCGTGCATATAAACCGTCATATATATAGCTTCCATGTCATGAATCCATCCATCAACAACTTACAAACCCATAAACCCTTCACGCCCATAACCAATGAAGCAAGGCAGACCGAATAAATGGCATCCTAAAATTCACACGATTTGACAGAAACAAATGATGTTGTCGGAAAACATCGTTATCGCACAGTCTAACCCCGGACACTCGTGCCAGGACGGAAAGTCCTTGCCTGAACGACCAGGACATCGGCATCCACATCCGCCGCGATGAACCGCGCAGCCGTGACGCCAAGGCAATCCTCCACGCCAACGGCATCAGACGACGACGACGGCGACGACGGACCCGCGCTCCGCTTAGCGACCCGGCGACCGACAATAAACAGGTTATGCCAAACATCATTGCCAGATCCCGAGCGCACCTCAGTCAGCGCACGGCTCACAGCGGCCTCTGTCTCCTTGGCGGCCGTGACAGACTCGAAGGAGATGCGTGCGGCGGCGGCGTGGTTCGAGACGACGCTCTCAATGTCGTGCGCCCAAGCGGCCGTCGTCGTCGAGGAGTGGTCGGGGGAAGAAGAAAAGTGCACGATGGTGGCGAAGACGTTGGGCCGCTCGCAGAGCTGGAGGGTGAGGGCGAGGGCCAGGACGTCGTCGTCGTCGTCGCCGTCGCCGAACAAGGGGAGGAAGAGGTGGTGCGACTTGTTCGTGACGGGGATGGAGGGGATGGCGGGGATGGCATGATGCAGGTCGCTGACGGAGTAGGCGCGGGATGTGGTACGGCGCAAGGGATTCGAATCCACGGTGCCGAGGGTGCCGGTACTGGCGCGGGGGACGAAGACGGCGACGTTCTGGGCCGGAGAGTCGAGAATCTTGCTGGCGAACTGGAGATACAGGGTCGACGCCGCCGGGTTGCCCGCCTTGGGGGACGGCGTCGGGGCGATTGCGTCGCTCAGATTACCGGTGCCGGTCCACGGGATGAGGACGAGGTCGGACGACATGGTGGAGGAAGTGGCGAGGAGGGCCTCGGCGAAGCGGGACTCGGGCATGACGGCCACCTCGCCCGAGACGGCGAGCCGGAGGAACTGGCCGACGAGGCGGAAGATGTTCACGACGGTGTCGTTCTTGCTCTCGTCGTCGACTTGCGACACGGTCAAGACGTTGGAGTCACGGTCACCGAGGGGCAGGAGACGCAGACCGTGAGCCCTGACTGCCCTGACGGGGGGAAGGGCGGCGGTGCCGTTGTCGTTGTTGTTGTTGCTGCTGCCCCTGCTGCTGGCGTCTTTTTCCTGCTCGGCGGCAAGACTGTCCGACTCGGAGTTGGTCGTCTTGCCGAAAAGCGAGATGAGAGTCAGAGTGGCGGGAATGTTGTCAAGACGGAGATACACCAGCATGGTTCGGATACGGCGGTCCGTAGAGGGTGCATCCGAAGCGTTCGCGCCGCCCTCGCCCTGGCCGTTGTTGGGTTGCAGGGGAGCGCCGGTGTCCCAGTCGATCTCGCCTCGCTTCCAGGCTTCCAGCTTCTTCTGGTACCAGGGAGGGTACAGGAAGGAGACGAGGGGAGTCGTGGTGAAGGTGGTTAAGAGGGCCATGACAACGAAGATGGTAAAAGTCCGCGTGCTGAGGATGCGAGCTTGGAGGCCGATGTTCTACGGCAAATCAGGAAGAGAAGAAAAAGAAAACCGGCATCAGCGACGTTTCCCCCCTTTTCTTGCACTTCTTTTCCTCGTCTCCCACAAGGGCAAGACAGACAGGATTGGGTGGGACTGATGACTTGCCAGGACAATCAGCTCGACGAGGCCTTTGCAGCTCATCAAAGCACCAACAGTGAAAGACTCCCTCCAAACCAGACCATTAAGTCGCGCGGCGACGGAGGCACCGATGATCTTGGTAAAGAAAGCGGTAAGAGTGACGGCAAACACGTAGGCCCAGGCAATACCGCTATCGAGGAGGCCAATGTCGGTCCTGAGACCGGAGAGGGTGAAGTAGAGAGGCAAAAACAGGGCGCCGATCAGATCCTCGAGCTTCTCGATGACCTTGATGTTGAAGCTGCGCTCGCGGGGCAGGACCAAGCCGACCATGAAGCCGCCGAAGATGGCGTGGACGCCGATGATGGCGGTGAAGAAGGCGGAGGCGAGGGCGACCAAGAGGATGAGGGAGATCATGCCCTGGGAAGGGCCATTCTCGATGTTGCCGGTGCGACGTAGCAGCCAGGCGAGAGTCGGCTTGACCGCGAAGAACAGGAAGAGCATGTAGCCAAGACAGGAGAGCAAGATCCAGAGGGCCGAGAGGCCACTTCCAGCGTTGGCTAGGGTGACGCAGAGGGCGAGAAGAATCCAGCCTGAGAGTAGTTATTGTTAGCCGTTGATCGATATATTCAATGCATGTTCTCGGACCACTTACCAACGACATCATTTGCAACACCGGCCGACAGGGTGATGATACCAGGCGTGGTATCGAGGAGCTTTAGTTCGGTCAAGATACGGCACAAAACAGGGAATGCCTAGGGAAAGTCAGTAAAGCAAGCAAGCAAAGAGGGAAAAGGAGGGAAGACAAACGGTAATGGCAATGGCCACGCCGATGAAGAGCATATAGATGGGGAAATCGATGGGAAGAATGCCCTCATCGTCGGCGAACTGGCGATAGATGCCCCAGGCGAGACCGCAACCGACGCCAAAAGGGAGGACCAGGCCCGCGACGGAGACGGAGGTAGCGACGCGCCAGTTGCTGAGCAGGAACCACACGTCGGTCTCGAGGCCGATGACGAAAAGGTAGAGCACGAGACCGATATTGGCCACCAGACTCAAATTCGGCAGCGACGCCTCCGGGAAGATGGCCTCCCTGAAGCCCGGGATGCGGCCCATGACGGACGGGCCTAGGACGATGCCGCCGATGACCTCGGCGATGACGCGAGGCTGGCGGATCTTGGACAGCGGCCAGTGCAGCAGGTAGCAGACGATGATGATGAGGGAGGCCTGGATGATGAACATGACGATGGGGTCGGCCGGGTTGTATTCGGACGGGTTGGCGCCCTCGATGACGCCTCCCTGGGGGGGAGCTCGGTTTCCGTCGTCCATGATGAGGGGGCTTTCGATCTTCGACTCGGTTGCAGTAAGAAAGTAACTCGGTGCGCGGCGCGGGCATGGGAAGAGGGAATGAATGGGAGACCTTGGTCCTTGGACCTTGCGGTCAGATTATGTCTACCGTGACACAAGCACAAGCACAAGGGGACTGGGCCACAGCGTCAACCCTCAGATTTCGGAGGAGATTGGACGATGGACCCTCGTGGCTTCTCACGAGGGCTGTGGTGTTGTGGTATGTATGGAGGAGAAGGACGGAGCAGGAGGAGGAGGAGGAGGAGGAGAGGAGGAGGACTCATGGATACCGACCGGTATGGTCCATGCGCCGGAGAGGCGCCGCCAGGGGAACGCGTAATCATTGTACAGTGTACGGTGTATCCCACCCATGGGTACTCCGAACGTTGTACTGCCTACGGAGAAAGTCAAAAGAAATTACAAATTCGGGGCAATATACGAAGTACATATTCGTACGGATAGGTATATAAGGTACAGAAAATGTAATGGCAGAAGACCTACCTGATTAAGGTAAGGTACCTTACCTATCTACCTACCTGTAATTACTGTAATTACATTAAGGTGATGAATTTGAACCCCGTGACCCCCCCTTCAGACGGTCTCGACTCTCGTCCTGGTGATCCATCCACTCTGAACCCCCCACTGTTCTTATGCCAACCTCTCTGTCTCTTTGCCGCAAACTTCGGATGCTGCCGCGCCTACAGAATGGCGAATGGCACTTTGTAAGTTGTAAGTTGTACACAAACACTCCGTTCGAAGTAGGTACTTCGCACACCAAACCAACCCTTGTGGATCTTTACCTGCTCAATTGCTCGAGTTTCGCACGTTATTTGTCTGGCATGGGCTTATTTTTGCCTCGTATACGAAACCCTTCCTTGAACCTCTCACTGCCCCATGACCCCCCTTTTTCACTTTAACGTCTCCTACTGACACCCAATAACCAGAACCGATCCCACACCCAGTATCGCATGTGAATTCAGGATTCATATGACGTCAGCCAAGTCAAGGCTCATCGTCGAAGTATTCGTGCTTCACACTTCGTACGAAGTGCATCCATATATATCAGTATCAACCCACCGTCTTATTAAACTCCAACTTAATTAACGACAGGACCTGATTCTCAACTCGATGTATGCATGTTAAGATTTATAATCAAGGTGCAAGTATGTATATACGAATAATCGCGGAGAGACGACAACTCTCTGAGAGGCTGAGATAACACAGAACTTGAAAGGACTTAGAAAGGAAACAACAAGAACGAACAGCACCTTGCAACTTACAGGCAATCAGAACTCCAACAGACCCTAGGTAAATCGATCACACTTACTCTATATAGTATCTCAACTTCTCAAGACCATCCGGGTAACAGGTTTACCGTCTCTAGTCCGAGGAGACATGCACCAAATCGTATCACTCTTCATATCTGTCATCTGACCTCATATCCTTATCAGAACCCAAGCATTGTGTTTATAATTGTGTAGTTTTGGTATTTCAAGGACGGAAATAAATGCTAACATGCACTCTAGTAAGGCTGACCATGTTAGCAACTTCCTATGAAAACAATATGAGTAGAGGAACTGAGCATACCTAAGTTCTAACCGGAGCCCTGCGATCAAGTTATGGTGCAATTCGTCGTTATATCTCAGTGTGATCGCGAGCAGTACTTAGACTAATCCGAATTGAAGTCATCTCAAACTTCATCCGTAATACCTGTAAATCATCAGCAAAACGACGTTTGCTGAGTAAGTCACCGACACCCATGACCTCTGTCTACAACTTGATCTGTAGTGCCACCTTTCGCATCGCATTGGCCAGTCTTGCACCAGCTCCCGCGAGCATCCCGTTGCACTGATGGCCATATGTGCCCAGACTTCGCCGGAATGCTGCAGTCCCCCCGTTCCGTCCAGTTTGACTTGGGATCAGGTCTTGTCCCACCCCCTTCCTCATCACAGAGTGTCATAAAACCATGAGGGTCTTTACGCCTGGAAGAGGAAACGGATGTTCTGGTACTCACAAGTTTGGCTTGTGCGTGACCTCCCTGTCAGCGGCAAGGGCCCTCGGCTCCTGCGTCCTGGGACACAAGAGCGTAATGGAATGTTGAATGTTCCAGCGGGCCGCCTGCCTGGATCCGTCGGGAACAAAGGGCCACCCCGAGGGAACAACTGGACCGCTCGGAGTGAGTCGCTTATATAAGTGGCTCTTGACTTTTGGCCCCATCGCACCAGGCCGACACTCCTATCCCCGAGCCCGGAAGAGTTCCAATAGGCCCTTGCCTCCGCTCGTGGCGGCTCATGCGGGATAGTGCTATCTGCCTTAACGGTGCGATGGCGCGATGGTGGGTATGAGAATTGGGGCTGAGATTTCAAGGCAGGACTCGCGAGGGGTATGGTTGTGCGGTGTGCCAGGCAAGATGCCCCCGTAATCACGACGAGTAGAGAAAAGGGGTGACTTACCGAGTTATTTTGACGAGCAACTTGAGCCAGATGAAGGTAGATCGGAGCTTGTGTTACATACTGTGTTCGATATGAGAGGCCCCTAAGCTGTCGGAGAAGAATGTCAGCGGCAACAGGCACTGGATGGCTTGGATGGAGAAAGTTGAGCGGTTTTGAGGCTTCGTAAATAGAAGTGGGAGGGAGGGCGATACGGGCGTGGAAGATATGTGTGGCTTATGAGAGTGGGAGAAGAGATCCGTTGGAAGAGGAGGACAAAAATAATTAGGAGAACAGAAAAGTGAAGGCAGGTTGGGAAATAGGAAGGGAAGGAAAGAACTTTTGTGATGGACATGGTCCATGGAGGGGAGTGTCTGAGAGATATTGCGCCTACCTTAGGGTAAGGGAAGGAAAGAAAACAAAGGAACGAAGGATGAGCATAAGGTACCTAAGGTAGCCACAGTATAAGGTACTCTAACCATTCTTGCCCGTCTTTTTTGACGTATCTGGAAACAGATTGATTGCAATGGTAGTCTAGGAATTAGGAGAATCGAGGGGGGAGAGACTTACGCTGGCTTGACTAAAGAACGTTGAGTCGACTGTTTAAAGCGCTGGTACGCCTAAAACGACCTTAGAAAATGGAGGCAAGTTGCTCTGCTCAAATTCCCGTGTCGTTGGGTCGAGGAGGAAGACAGTCAAGTGCGCTCTCAATAACAAACTTCGATGATGTGGATAGTGGGAGTAGAGGCGTAAGGTAGAGAGAGAGAGAGAGAGAGAGAGAGAGAGAGGAGGAGGATAATGTTAGGTGGAAAATTTTGAAGAAGGGAAAAACGAAGAAGAACAATTAGGAGGAGAGGGTAAGCTTTATAGTGAGAGGGCATGGCTGCCTGGAAAAGGCAGACGCAGAGAATACCGCTGGGTAGGTGCCACATGGTCGTGCCTTCCGACAAAGAGACGCAGTACAGACACCACAGGAGTCTCCGTGACAAAACCGACGGAGTATCTTACCTTGGTATTTTGCAGTACAATTACCAGACTCACACGTACCTTACTACCAAGATCAAGTGACGCACTGTGCCACTTTCTGTAAATTACGATATCTCATGTCTGGCGTTATACTGTCGGGAATGGAAACGAAGTGACAATACCTTACATAGCCGGTTATATGAGCTGATAGGTAAATGTTATGTTCCAAAGCGGATTGATCGACAATATACTTTTTCGAGTTGAGGATAAGTGCTAGAGTGGGATTGCTCGTAATTGACTTCGGTGAGAGTGTTGATGTCCCCCATGGTGTTTTGGCTCACCGAACACACCGAGCATAGATGGTGTACTTTTTTCGGTGAACCCACTTTTTCTTTTCTTCCCCTTCGTCGGACCTCGACAGTTTCAGTGATCTGGGAGGTTTCCACGACACCACTCTCCAACTCCTTTCACACAACAATCAGCGCATATCTTCCAAGATGGCGACGGCAGACCAGGAACTTCCATTCATAAGGAATCTCGCATCCAGCGGTATGTTTACGACTCTTGTCACCGGACCATTTCCATCCCGAAAAGCAAGACCAAAAAAAAAGAGGGAACAAAAAAAAAAGGCATCCTAGCTAACAACTCTCTCAATACATTCAGACAAGCGCCTGCGCTCCCAAGCCCTGACCTCCCTCCAAACCTTCCTGACCGCCCAAAGGGCGCTCGACCGCCTCACGGCCCTCAAGCTCTGGAAAGGCCTCTTCTTCGCCCTCTGGATGTGCGACAAGCCGATCCCGCAACAGAACCTCTGCGCCGAGCTCGCCGACCTCTACACCTCTCTCCCTGCGCACAGGAAGAAGGACAAGCGGAATGACAACGGTACAGAAGCAACAGGCGGCGGCGGCTTGGTGTCGATATGGTTCGCCGCGGCGTGGGAGGTGCTCGCGACCCACTGGACCGAGATCGACGTGCTGCGGATGGACAAGTTCCTCCTCCTGACGAGGCGCGTTTTCGCGGCGCAGCTGCGGTGGGTGCGCGACGCGGCGTGGGACGAGGGGAGGCAGGGGTCCGTCGTTGACGTGTTGAAGGCTTGGCCGTTTGAGAGCGAGGGGGATGTGGCGAGGGTGCCGCTCGGTTTAAGGCTTCACGCGCTTGATATCTGGGTGGACGAGATGGAGAGGTTGGGCATGTTGGGGGAGGATGAGGGAGACCAGGCGGAGGGGGAGGAGGAACGACAGCGAGAGGGGGATGCGATTGCGGTGCGCTTTGCGGAGAAGATGCGGAGGCAGCTGATTGAGCCTCTGACGTCTTGTCCGGTCAAGCCGGTGAGGAAGAGCGCAGGGGAGCAGCTGGAGGACGACAGGCTGCCCTGGGTTCGGAGGAAGCAAGCCGATGATGGCGAGGCGGCGGAAGAAGATGATGAGTGGGGTGGTATCGAGGATTGATGGGCTCGCAGGCGGCCTGTCTCTGCATGCATTTACAGGGCGCTGGGGCGTTAGGTTAGATTCCGGGGGTGTTTTCAGTGTTTTCAGTGTTTTTGATCACTGCTCCCCCTCGAGCCAATCCGGCTCTTTCTAGAAAAGTTTGATTCATCCCTTTTTAAAAAGAAAAGTCCGTGTGCATTCCCAGGCCCCTCTCGCTTGTTTGTTCAGTCAATGGTCTTACTAGTAGAGACTATTTAATTAACATGAGCTCGCTGATGCCCCATGGCATTCATTTTCGCAAGGGAAAACAGTCGGCTGATAATACCCAATCACCGCTACCAAGAATCTATAATACAAAAAAAAAAAAAAAAGTCTATGTACATCCGCTGGGTCTAGGCTTGGGCTCTGGGTATCGTAACAAAATCATTGAAGCTCCTTCCAGCCCTTCGGCCCGGAGGCCTCGTACACCCCGTTTTTGGAATACACCTTGCCCAAGCGAGGGTGGACCTCGATCTGTATGGGTCCGAAGGGGATGCTCTCTCCGTCTACGCTGATGTAGCCGCTGTCTTGGCGGCGGGGGGTGACGCGCAGGGCGTGCAACTTGCGATAGGTGACTTTCGGGTTGCCGAAGAAGCCGCCCTCGTCGGCGACGGCGCCCATGAGGTCGACGACTGTCATGAAGGAGAGGTCGCTGTCGACGGTGACCAAGTCGAAGCACCCGTCGGTGGGATGGGAAGCGGGGAAGAAATTGGCGTCAGGGGCAAGATATGCCATCTGCAATAGCCTCGGTCAGTTACAAGGAAATCCCCCAGTCATTGAGTAGACAGGGCAAAAAAGGAAAAAAAAGAAAGCAAAAAGAAGAAAAAAGAAGAAAAAGAAGAAGAAAAAGAAGAAAAAATAGAAGAAGAAATAGAAGAAGAAATAGAAGAAGAAATAGAAAAAGAAGAAAAAACCGAGGATCACCCACCTTCCCGGAATACAACGTCCCCATGTTATCGTATTTCAAAGTCTCCCAGCCGTCACCGAGTTTGTCATTGACAGTACCATACCGCAAGGGGGGCAAGCCACCGTCCTGCAGCTTGTCCTCGCTTGTTTGTTCCTGTTTCAACGCCACGGTACCGTCCATGTGGGCCTTGTAGTGCGACCTGATCTCATCCAGGTCATCCATGGCGACGCGGAAGGCGAGGTCGCAGGGGTAGGACTTTTTCTTAAAAACCCTCGTCAGGAAGCCGTGCTGGAAGCGGAGGGCGCCCATCCAGCGCAGGTGTTCGGTGGCGAGGTCGGCCTCGGCCATGATGCCGAGGGTCTGGCTGAGGAAGCTGAGCTTCCGCTCGTTGTCGCCGTAGGTGATGCTCATGAGGTCGATCGGGGTGTCGACGCCCTTGATGACGGCCAGGGCGGCCTCGGACGGGTGGTGCGAGCCGCACAGGTTGCAGGCCATGGCGTTCCCCGAGCCGCAGGGGATCTGGCAGACGGCGACGGACCGCAGCGCCGCAGCGGCGTCCGGGCGCGCGCCCAGCCCGTTGAAGATCTCGTAGGGCAGGCCGTCGCCCGAGCAGGCGACGATGGCGTCCCATTGGTCGAGGTCTTTCAGATCCCGCACCGTGTCGACGGCCTCGCCCGGGCGGGTGGTCTGTTGCACGTGCAGGGTCATGCGGGCGGCGCGGAAGAGGGGCTCGACGTCGCGTTCCCACTTGGCCATGGCGCCGCCGGGGCCGGCGTGCGGGTTCACCAGCACTTTCGCCCTCTTCCGGGCCTTGGCCGCGCCGTAGGCCCTCGCCAGCAGGGCGTGTATCCAAGCCTCGACCTCGGCGGCGTCGGTGACGGAGGCGTCGGCTATGATGGTGGCAGGACGGAGCCGGTGGTGGGATCGGGGGAGGGGCTCGGCGTAGGTGATCTCGACGTTCTGGCCATTGCGCTCGGCCCAGAGGACGTTGTACAGCGGGACGATCTTGTTGGAGGACCACTCCGGGAGGGACAGGCCGCAGACGCGGGTCGGCTTGGTAGGGCGGGTAGGGTCTCGCTCGAGGATCAAGGCGCCCCCTTGCAGGGTCAGACACTGGGAGCGGTTGACGTTGATGGAGAGCTCGCGGCCATTGTCGGGCTGGCTTGGGGGGAGAGCTTCGGAGCTGGAGGTGGAAACGGTCTTGGCCGCAGCCCCCGATTCGGCCACCATGTTTGTTTGTCGTTGGTCGTGGCGTCGTGGTCCTTTGACGCAAGGGATGGTCTTTGTTGACTTGACCGTGGTCGTGGCACTCGCGTAGGTACGTGTACGAATTGGTTTCCAATTGCACGGTTGATGAGAGGTAGAGGATATGTTCTGTTCGATACTAAGATGTATGTAGATGTACTTCCAAATGACATGCAGTAGGCTTCACGAACAGGGGGAGGGAGACCAACGGGCGAGTTCGACGACCCACCGACGATCTTGGGGGGTGTGGGGCTGAAATAACGAAGTGGGGAGTTGGATTCGAGGGTGGAATAATAAAGATCCTGTTCCGATCACTGATGAATGAGTCCCTTTTGTAAGGTACACTAAGGTATAGGTAGTGTAAATCCCGGAGACCAGACGACCCTGAAGTAGAAGCTTCGTACTTCAAGTTCTAGCCTGGTAGATAGCGTGACATGAGGTACAGAGGACTAAGGTATGAAGACGCTACCGGTTCTGGAGAACTGAGGTACCACCAGCCAGGAAAGTTTATCTTGGAGCATCGTCACCTACGAACCGTCAACTGCTGTGGGCAAACCCAAACGTCTCAAGAACAACTCTATCGACAAGAGTATCCTTCGCGTCAAAGATATTCGTGCGTTCATGTGCATTTTCACAAGCCAATGGCATAGGATAAGCTCACCTCGCCCTTAACCGTGCCTGTCCAGTACCATCTAGTACCATCTAGTACTATTAGGCCTGGAACGGCCGACGATAGGGTGGAGTCTAGCCTCTCGTCTCCCTCCCGTTTTGTGCTTCTTCTTTTTTATTTGGTCGTCCCTGGTTGCCGATAAGCCAGCAGAACTTTACTTTATATCGGGCACGACTTCCAAGTTGGACAACGTCGAGTTGCTTTTACCTCATGCCTTCACCGCCGCGATTGTCGGGGTAGCTGTATGTACGTCGCGTCGTGTATGCCTACCTTAGGTAGGTACCTAGGTAAGAAGTATGTGAGTACTACGAAATATTTCCCGTCCGCGAACGATAAAGACCCCTGTCCGTTTTGTGGTCTTCTGACTGCTTGCCTGATTGGAAGTTCTACGAAGCCGATAGAAGTCCAATTCACTCGGTTGGAGTCGAAGTATAACGTACTTTGTAGAACGGCACAAGAAATGGGGGTCGGCCTGTACGGATACTGACTTGTTGTATCTGTACCTTACGCTATACCGGTACCTCCTTCTGTTTTCTTGACCCGTAGCCGCCCGTACCTGAACCAAGTACCATCCTTGGACGTCCCTGTTGCACCCTTTGTTCCTGGTACCTTTAGGGCTCTAACTACTTTCTCGATAGTGGAGGTACAGTGGACGGCAAGGGGGACGTCATCCCACGCACAATCAAGACTTTTGCGACTTGGAGACTTTGACTCACCTCCCTCACCTCCTTCTTCACCTTCTTCACCTTCTCGCCTCCTGAGCTTCATCTCTGCATCCTCGTCCATCTCCCCTCTCCCACCTCGTCTCTCTCCATGATCGTCCTCCATCCCATCTTTGTGACCGTCCCCCCACTCAAACACCTCCTCTTCATTCAATTGCCTTTACTTCGGTTTACCCAGTTTCATTTTGCTTTAATATACAACTAGATAACCCGCGAGGGTGCTGCACTTTAGTATCTGGACCTTGCTTCGTTCCCTTTTCCCTTTCCCTTTTCCGACCCTTCGAGTGCTCTTTTACTTCCCTTCCGCCTTATCAAGCTTCTCGTCTTCTCCATAATCTATTACATTCACCTCTCCTCCCCCCCTTTCCCTGGTGCCTTGACCGGCACACCATGCCTGTCATTGATACCACCAAAGACTTGGCTGCTCTCTTCCAGAGCCAAGCCAAGGCTACCCCCGATGCCGTCGCACTCGAAGATGAGACGCGGTCTCTGACTTACGCCGAACTAGACCGTGAGACGGCGGCCCTAGCTCTTCGCCTTCGTCGTCAGCACCGCGTTGGCCGAGATGTCCTTGTCGGTGTGCTCATGGGCCGGAGCGCCGACTACGTGATTGCGTCCCTGGCCGCCCTGAGAGCCGGCGGCGCTTTTCTTGTTCTGGAGCTGGCCTATCCGCCTGGCCTCCTCCGTGATGTGGTCGATGATGCGAACCCCGCCGTGGTTATCACCCACAAGGCATACGCTGCCAAGATCGAATCAGATGTCCCCGTCATTGCCATCGACGAGGTGGATGATCGCCCTCGTGTCGACGACGCCGCCCAACTCCCTCCTCTCCCCGCTGAAGACGATCTCGACCGTCTCGCCTTCGTGTCGTACTCTTCCGGCACCACCGGCCAACCCAAGGGCATCGCCAACCCCCACAGAGCCCCCGTGCGGTCGTACGACCTCCGCTTCGCCGTCAGTGACCTCCAACCGGGCGACAGGGTGGCCTGCAACGTCTTCTTCGTCTGGGAGATGCTTCGCCCGCTCCTCCGTGGAGCCACTGTCGTCGCCGTCCCGGATCTGATCAGCTACGACCCTGCCGGCTTGGTCGGCATGTTGGCGTCCCGCTGCATCACCGACACCCTCATGACCCCTACGCTCCTGGCCACCGTCCTCTCTCGTCATCCCGAGCTGGCCGACCGCCTGCCGGACCTGCGGTCTCTCTGGCTCAACGGAGAGGTTGTCACCACAGAACTCTGCCGCCGCGCCCTGAAGGCCCTCCCCAACACGCGCCTGCTCAACCTCTACAGCGCGAGCGAGACCCACGACGTTGCCGCCGGTGATGTCCGGACCTTTGTCGACTACAACACTCCCGTCTGCCCCGTGGGCCCTCTCTTGGACCCTGAGTATGTCTACATCCTGGACGAATCCGGCAATCCGGTCGAAGGCCATGCCAGCGGGGAGATGTGGGTCGGCGGACATCTTTTGGCGCGCGGCTATCTCAACCTGCCCGAGCAGACCGCCAAGGCCTTCCACCCGGATCCCTTCGACAAAAAGACGGAAGGGGCTCGGATGTACAGGACGGGAGACATGGCGCGTATCCTGCCGTCGGGTCTCCTGGAGATCACCGGCCGCGTAGGGGGTATGATCAAGACGCGCGGCTATACCGTGCAGCCCAGTGCCGTGGAGCACGCCGTCGTCAAACACCTGGCGGTGCGTGATTGCGCCGTGACGTCCCACGGCGACGGGTTGGAAAGACAGCTGGTCGCCTACGTGGTCCGCGACAAGGACGACGAGCGGAACAGAGCCGATCTTGCCATCGATGAGTCCGGGTACAGCCCGGCCGCCCGACGCGCCCTTGCGGCCCATCTGGCGCCTTACATGATCCCGACGCTGTGGGTCGAGGTGCCCCAACTCCCCACGCATGACGTCTCTGGCAAGGTCGACCTCAAAGCCCTTCCGCCGCCTCCGATGCCGAAGGGCCAGGTCGGAAAAGGAAATGGCGGCAGGAGGAGGGACATGAGCATCACCATCGACACGATCCGGAAGCTGTGGGCGGCTTCCCTCAAGATGCCGGCCAGCGCCATCAAGGACGAGCACGGTTTCTTCGACATTGGCGGCCACTCCCTGGTGCTGGCCAACCTAGCCAACCGCTTCTCCAAGGAGTTTGGATTTCCCGTGCCTCTGGCGCCTCTGGCTGGCGACCCGACGCTTCAGGGTCACTTGAACGCCGTCTGTGCAGCCCGCGACGGCCACACGGCGGCCGTGCAGGCCGACTTGCCTGCCGTGCTGCGGGCCGACTGCGACCTTCCGGAGGACATTCGGCCCAAGAGCGAGGGGCAGGCAATGCGTCGACTGGACGAGGCAGACACTGTTCTCCTGACAGGTGCCACGGGCTACCTGGGCGCTTTCCTCCTCAAGTCTCTGATGGACAGCACATCGGCCCACATCATCTGCCTGGTGCGCTTCACCGAACCGACGGACGACTCGCGACCGGCCGGCATGGCCCGCATCCGGAAGAACTTGGTGGACCTGTCCCTCTGGGACGACGGCATGCTGGACCGGATGGAGATCTTGCCCGGCAACCTCGGGCGCAAGCGGCTCGGACTCTCGTCGGAGACATACAGCGACATCGCCTCCCGTGTGGACGTGATCATCCACGCCGCCGCCACGGTGAACCTAGTGTACCCCTACGCGGCGCTGAGGAGCCCCAACGTCGGGGGCACGAGGGAGATCTTGCGGCTGGCGTCCCAGAGCGGGGCCACGCTCCACCACGTGTCGACGAACGGCGTACTGACGCCGTCTGTGACGGGTTGGCCGGAGGATGCCATGGTCGACATCGACGACGTGCCGGAGAAACTGCTCGACGGGTACGGCCAGACGAAGTGGGTGGCCGAGAAACTTGTGCTCGAGGCGGGCCGTCGGGGGATGCCGGTCAAGGTGTACCGGCCGGGCACGATCAGCGGGCACAGCGTGACGGGATCGACGAACACGTACGACTTGCTGAACGCGCTCATCGTCGAGTCGCTGCATCTCGGCCAGGCGCCCCAGATCGAGGACTGGTATGCGGAGATGACGCCGGCCGATTTCGTCAGCACGGCCATGGTCACCCTGGCGAACCACGTCGACGACGGGCAGCTGGTGTACCACCTGGGAGACCCCCGCCCGGTGCCGGCCAGCAAGGTTTTCGATTATCTCGAGGAGCTCGGCTACCCGACCGGACGGCTGCCGTGGGACGAGTGGGTGGCGCTCTGGAACAAGGAGAGGGGCTGGGGCAAGACGGGGGGCGACGAAAACGAGCCGTTCACCCTGGACATCCTCCGCGGCGGCATGCCGACGGCAGAGGCGCTCCGGTCGGTGGTCGTTCTGAAAGACGACGCCACCAAGGCGGCGCTGGCGCAGTACGGGGTCCACCGGCCCGAGATCGACGGCAACCTGCTCGCGACGTACACCCGGCATTTTTTCGCGCGGGGCTGGCTGTCGAAGGCGCCGACTCGGCGACCTCAGACCAGCAACGGCGTCGTCGTCGCCGCCTCTAGGCCCGGTCGCAGGGGGCGCTTGGCCGGTAAAGTGGCGGTGGTAACGGGTGCATCTTCCGGGATCGGGGCGGCCGTGGCAGAGGGCCTGGCGAGGGAAGGGGCGCACGTGGCGCTCGCGGCACGACGCACGGAAGCGCTCGAAAAGACCAAGCGCAAGCTGGGCCGCTACGGGGTCAAGGTCCTCGTGCACAAGACGGACGTGACGGACAAGTCGCAGGTGGAGGCCCTGATGCGGGCGACGGCGGAAACACTGGGCCCGATCGACGTCCTGGCGAGCTGCGCCGGGGTGATGTACTTCACGATGATGACCAACAACCACACGGACGAGTGGGAGCGCACGGTGGACGTGAACTGCAAGGGCCTGCTGCACTGCCTGGCGGCGACGGTGCCGGGGATGGTGGCGCGCGGGCGGGGCCACGTGGTGGCCATCTCGTCGGACGCGGGGCGCAAGGTGTTCCCCGGGCTGGGGGTGTATTCGGCGAGCAAGTTCTTCGTGGAGGCGACGCTGCAGAGCTTGCGGCTGGAGACGGCGGGGACGGGGCTGCGGGTGACGTCTGTCCAGCCGGGGAACACGGCGACGGAGCTGCTGGGCTTGTCGACGGACCCGGAGGCGATCAAGAAGTATGGGGAGCCGACGGGGGCGAAGGTGCTGGAGGCGGAGGAGGTGGCTTCTGCGATTTTGTATGCGGTGTGTCAGCCGGAGCATGTGGCGGTGAATGAGGTGCTTATTGAGCCGAGGGATGAGCCGATCTGATGTTTGCGCTTTCATTTGGTATGGGGGTATGTGGCATGAGGGATACGAGGTAGACAGACCTTGTGAAGCAAGGCTATGGGACATGATTCTCCGACCAAGACGATAGACGAGGAAAAGAAATATAGACAGAAAACGGACGAAAATAAGATGATGTATGTTTCTGCTGGCATTGTATGGATGAAGTCCTATTCAAAGTGAAAACGAAAACAATGATACGAGTCTTCTGAGAAGCGTCAAGATACCACACAGACTTATATAGACTGGCCTGAACACTCTCCACCCCGCCACCTACGGCCAACGAACCAAATATCTTAAAAAACCTTAGAACAGTCGGAGCAACAGCCGAGTTCCTGTCTGACGAAGTCAGTTTCGATTCCTAATCATCCTTCGCCGAGACATTCCATCAAATCCATCATCATCACTTACATGGCGTGAAAATTCTTAATGGTGAGGTTGGTTGTTCTCTTCCAAGACTTCTTCGCACATTTCTCCTGAGGTTACAGCATAATAGGTCTTGCAATTCTCGGCCGCACCGTCCCGTATTGAGATTAGAAAACCGTACTCATGGGATAGGAAAGGAAATTAGTAACGGCAGGCTGCAAATACTTACCCTGATGGGAAGTTCAGTGGGCGTCGGCTCAGCGGGAGTCTCTTCACTGGACGTCGGCGATTCTGGTGCAGACATGTGGGGTATTGGCAGATGCTGTCGCCGATAGACCGGGACATGCGATTGCAAGCCGGTCCGAGAACGGGATTCCCTTTGGAGAAGATATCGCGTATTAGAGATTATGTTGTCATTTTAATGTGGAAAGAGAGAGAAGACGACAAAAGAAATGTAACTAGAGAAGGAAGAAAAAACGGGAATAGGGGGTGGGAGGAATAGGGGTAAAAAGGGGAGGGGAATTCAAGGGGAACAAAAAAAAAGGCAGAAGAAGAAGAAACAAACACCGCTCACATGTATAAAGCTGCACCATGGTGATATTATTACCAGCAGCAATGCCCTGGCGGGTGTCATTCTCCTGGACAGTGTACGTCTTGCACTGGTTCATAATGCATATCTTCTCGCCAGCTGTTGGAATAGGGGTTGCCAGCTATAAACTGGAATGGCTTGATGATGCAGTTGCCACACATGTCGAGAGAGACCGTGGGTGTGGCTAATTCTGTATGTCAGAACTTCGGAGCCCTTCAATTTGCAACTACATGCCATACGTGATGAATCATGGGAGGGTTTGTTTTTCTTACGAGAAGCAGAGCCACCACCAAGGCCTCCACACAGCTAGCCGATAGACTGTCGGAGGGGAGAGCATTGGGGGAGATATACTGCCAGGAAGCCGCACTAGCTGGGCTGGCCGCAATGGCCAGATTTAAAAGAATAAACGACCAACGCATGGTACATGTAGCTGCAAAACTTGGAGGCAAGAAGAAGATCGTATGAAGTAAACACATGCATCCAGAGGGCAAAGCCGCAATGGCGGAGAGGGCCGGAAGAAAGCACGAACATAAAAGGAATTGAATCTTTAGGGAGTGCTTTAACCAGTACAAACGGTGAAATGAACGGATGCTCCGAGAGATGGACGTTGCGTCGATGTCATGTCAGCACTTAGGGATAGAGGTAGAACATAGCCACTTCCGGTCCGTGGATATCGGCCGATCGGCAGAGCAGAGGCCGCAGGGCTACGTATGGATATGAGACGTCGTACTTCGACGGTCTCTTAGAGGCTTGGAGTTCTGTCTGATGTTAATCGTTTAGGCCGCGAGTATCGAGTACCGAGTACTTCGTGCTTTGTACTCCGTACTCCGTGCTCCGGCCCGTCGCCGCCACCGGCCTCGGGCCCACCGCGGCACTACCCGTTCGGCATTCGGCTCTTAGCCCCACCCCGTGTAACGCTATGCCACGCCGCGCCCCGCTTTATTTCCGACCTCCTTCGATCGCCCGCCCTAAAAGGGGAGGACCGGGCTCTTCTATTAGTCCTTTAAAAAATAAGCTTATGCAGGGCGCTTACTACGACTGTGGTCTATGGATAAAGGTTGCCTGATCGTCCTGTATGATGTATGCGGAGGCTGTGAGTCTGTGACTGCTGGTGCCTTGGTGAAGATGATAAGATCTCCTGTGACGACAGTCGGAGGACAGAGTATCTATATGCTCCTTAGATCTGCACTCCAAGTCAGCCCGACTTCTATGCTCGTCATTGATCAGCGCGCGATTACCGGCCTCCGGGAAGCTAGTAGAATGGCAATTGAACTTGTTTGGGCTCTCCATGAGATATACATTCCTTTGTAACTGGAAGATCAGTGCGCCTTGTCACACAGAGCAGAGTCGGCAGACGAATGATTGACCTTGTTCTATTGGCGAGAGGATATGTCCAGTGGCTTTACAAGGAGGTACACGATTCAGCGCCTACATGCGAAAGAAAAGGTTAAGATGTGATAAAATCCTGACCTTTACGTAAAACGTACTTACTGAACCGTGAACTGCACAGCCTTGAACAAGTCAGGATGCAACGATGATAATCCAACTTCGTATGTGGTACTTTGTATGGCGAGCTCGTAGCAGGGGCAACTTACAAGGGTCAAGACCTTGTGGAGTTGTGCTTCCCGTCATAGTCCCTATTCCCATGCCGTATAAAAAAGGGATTCTTCTGTCACAGGACCTTGTAATGGTGAATTGGACGAGGGCCCAACCCAAAGACCCATTAGGAGTCAGGGCCTCTCGTCTACTCCCCCAAGACTTACAACACCTATCATTGTATATCCAACCCTAATTCTGAGCCGCCATTTTGCCCTCTTGACTCTTGGCTGTGTCTGCAGCCTGCCCAGCCATGAGGCTCAAAAATCTCATCTTCTCCTTGCTAGCCCTCCAGGCTGCACCTGGTCTAGGCCGGCACGCAGCCCCTGGAGCCGGAGTTTGAGTATGGCGTCTCCCTGAACGGGCATCGGTCCGCCCACATCAAGCCTACCATCACGTTCGGTATTGATTGGAGTGATAAATTTGTCTGAAAATTGTCTCTCTGGATTCCTGCGCCGTGAATCTAGTTGCCGATGGACATGTTACCTTCCATGCCGAAGCCGAGACAGGGAGCAGTGGGAGCAGTTTCTGCTATGGCGCCGATGCCGGGGCGGATCTCTATGCCACTATTGATGCGCCTGAAATGTTTGACTGGACCACGCCCGAGTCTCCCCACATGATTATACCCTCTGAGGACGTAACCCTCTTCCCCAGTTCGGCCGGAGAGGCCTGCTCTACCTCGGGAAACAGGAAGTTGTTCCGCCGAGATGGAGATGTTATGGATGATGATCTTGCTGGAAGCAGCGTCAACGGTTACAATACGCCCTCTTCTTCTTCTTCTTCTTCTTCTTCTTCTTCTTCTTCTTCTTCTTCTTCGTCGTCGTCGTCGTCGTCGTCGTCGTCGTCGTCGTCGTCGTCGTCCAGGAAGACTTTGTCACGCCGTAACCCATCCAAGCGGTCTGTCAAGTACGGTCCCCTGATACCGCAAATCGACGGCCTCGTGTGCCTCGGCGAGGTCGAGGTGGACGACATCCCCTCATGCGAGGCATGCGAAAGTGGTGGTGACGACGTCAATGACGTCGACGACGCGGCTCTACGGAAAAGGGATGATGAGACTTGTTGGCTCGACCCCTATCGTTTGGGCGAGGAGACATGTCCTGCGGATGATGACGATTCCGGCGACGCTCGCCGAAGTCTGGAGCCGCGGGTAAATAAGAAACCCATCAACTGGCAGCACGGTGGGCAAACCTATGAGCTGGCTCTCCCTCCTTACAAGTCCTGCGGAACGGCTGTGGGCGTCGCCGCGTCTCGGCCCTTCAACGTTGGTTTGGGTACCCGGCCAAGGAGTCCGACGGGTGTGAAGCCGTGTTGAATAAACTCACTAGAAAGCAGATCGATCCTAGTCTCTTTGCCAGTAAACTCGTCACCCTCGATCAAGTGCTCCTGGCTCTTTGCTCTTCTCTCTTCTCAAGGCCGCGCTGGAAGGCACAGCCGTCAAAGTCCCGTGGTACGTGACACGTCTGGATTGACCATGTAAAAGACCCAGGAGGATAAAGGAGGCAAGCTGAGCTCGTCATCTGGCCTCTTCCACGACATGAGGGCCGACCTGTCGGTGTGGTCTTTGAAGGGGACGTTGGATCGTTTCTTATGGTCGTACGGACTACGGTACAACGGTGTTTGTATCTTGGTCACGTGGTGTTGTTAGTCAGGGGTTCGGAAGCAAAGAACATTGTTCCGGCCCTGAGTACGAAGTACTTATTTGGATTAGCACCAAGCATCAACCAATCAGAGGCTAGTACGCTACCATTTTGAACCAATTATATCAAAATGTCGGGGACTTTTTCGTCAAATAAAGTACCTTACGTGGTACCCGGTTTGACTCATCCAAGGTACTTCCAAAAAGAGTCACTGAACCTCGATCCCCGAAGCCGGAGTGCGAAAGAGTACCTACGGAGTGCGTACTCCGACTCCGTCACGTTCCTCACCTCAACTCCTCAACTCCAACATCTTACCTGAGATTGAGGCTTGGGTATAAACAAGCCAACTACTCGGATTTTTGTTCTCCAACTTCTTTTTTATCCCTTTATTTTTCTTTTCCCTCCTTGGGCCCTCTGCCAGTTATCCGGGCAGGTCTCCCGGAAGCAAGCAAACTACTCAAGTCTCACCCGGGTCGTCACCCCTCCCCTCAACCTCGACCTCACGACTGCTTCACGGTTCACCCATCGCCATGGCATCCTCACAACCCCCCGCGACCTCCCCAGGCCCCAGCAACCCCCCCGAACTCCCCCCAACCCCAGCCATGGCCGACCTCAAACCCCTCCTCAAGAAACTCTGGCCCATCCCCGCCGGCGGCAGCCAAGTCACCGCCGACGAGATCGCCGAAGCCATCTCCCACTTCTTCACCAACCAGGTCTCGACCGCCCAGGCCGCCTCCCTCCTCATCGCCCTGCACTTCACCAACCTCGACCGCAACGCCGACGTCATGGCCGCCTCGGCCGCCGCCATGCGCCGCGCCGCCGCCCAGGTCGACATCCCCTCCCTCCGCGCCGTCGTCTCCGCCAAGCGCCTCGCCGCCGGCGACTACCGCGGCGGGCTCTGCGACATCGTCGGCACGGGCGGCGACTCGCACAACACCTTCAACATCTCCACCACCGCCTCCGTCGTCGCCTCCGCCTGCCTCGTCGTCAGCAAGCACGGCAACAAGGCTTCGACCTCCAAGAGCGGCTCCGCCGACCTGGTCGCCCACATGCGGCCCGTCGCCCCCGTCCTCGCCGCCGTCGCCCCCCGCAGCCTGAGCCGCGTCTACGCCGCCACCAACTACGCCTTCCTGTTCGCCCCCGTCTTCCACCCGGGCATGCGCTTCGTGGCCCCGCTGCGCAGGGAACTCCCCTGGCGGACCATCTTCAACCTGCTCGGCCCCCTGGCGAGCCCGGTCGAGGACGCCCTCGAGGCGCGCGTCATCGGCGTCGCGCGCCGCGAGCTGGGCCCCGTCTTCGCCCGCGCCCTCGCCGTCGCCGGGTGTCGTAAAGCCCTCGTCGTGTGCGGCGAGGAGGAGCTGGACGAGGTGAGCTGCGCGGGGCCCACCCTCTGCTGGCGCCTGCGCGAGTCGGGCCACCATGACCAAACGGTCGTGGGTGCGGGGGAGGCGGCGCCGGGGGTCGTGACGGAGCATTTCAAGGTTCGCCCTGCGGATTTCGGCCTCTCGGTCCACCCGCTCGATACGGTGTCGCCCGGCAAGGAACCGTCGGAAAATGCGGACATTCTGAAGCGCATTCTTGGTGGCGAACTCCCCGATGATGACCCCATTTTGGAGTTTGTTCTCATGAACACCGCTGCGTTGTTTGTTGCTTCGGGTATTTGCGAGGCTGACTCGAGCGCCATGGGTCCCGGTGATGATGGGAACGTTATTACTGAGCGAGGACCTGGCGGCGAGAGGTGGAAGGAGGGCGTGCGGAGGGCGCGCTGGGCCATCAAGAGCGGCGAGGCTTGGAGACAGTGGGAGGCTTTTGTCCAGGTTACGAATGATATTGGCGGTGTTTTGCCTTGACCTTTGCATGAACAGAATGAGAGGCTCTCTTGGAGATGACACGAGTTGATGCTGAATGCGATGTTCATAATAGGATAAAAACAAAAAGAAAAAAGAAAAAGAAAAGAAAAGAAAACACAAATGAAGGACGGGGTTTTTTTTCTACCTCTATGTATCCCTAAGCCACCAGAGCTCCAGCTCCCCCCTATCATAATCTCCACCACCGCCACTGGCTTTGCAGGCTTGTTTCGGGTTGCCTGTCCCTACAGCGTCCCTATAGCGGCACCACAACATGAAACTGTTTCTAGCTTCGATGGGTCCATGTTGACCGGAATAACCGGGCTGACCACGGCCCTCTTGCTCCCGTAAGAGCTACATAAACACCGCCGATCTGAACCGTGCTCCGATGAACCGTCTCCGTAAAGGCGTTACTGGTGACCGAGCCTGCCTACCTTAGGAAAAGATGGTAACTTGCGGCCATCGTCCCGTCGCCAATGCCCTGAAGGTGTCCACCTCTTTGCTCTTCCACGTCTTCAGCACCTCCAGGATCTCCCCCGCCTGTTCGAATGTCACCTTTTCGCCCTTCACCAGCGCGACCAGCTCCTTTTCGACCTTGCTCGGGTCCTCGCCGAGCACCTTGCGCGCCTTGACGGCCGACACCACATGCGGCGGGCTCTCCTTGTGTGCCTCGAGGAACTCCTGGTTGTACTGGCCCGCGGTGTTGTCCGCCGGAACGGCCTTGAACTCCGACTTGATGAGGTCCTGCACCTTGGGCGGCAGCGTGGCCAAGACGGGGTCGATGGTGTGCTTGAATTCGATGACGCGCTCGTGGACCTTGGGGTTGGATGCATCCAGGGCGATGGCGGCATTCAGGCAACCCAGAGCAAGAACATACTTCTCTGGGGGTTTGTTAGTAAGAAAGAAGGGAGGGAAAACGGAGGGGAAAAATGGAAAAATGAAAAAAATGAAAAAAGGGGGGGGGGAGGAAGGGGGGGGAGGAAGGGGGGGGAACACTCACTCCGCCGTATGTACACATCAAAACCCGCCAACTGCGCATGTATATTCTTGGGACTGAACTGCAGCAGATGGGAAACGTATTTCATAGCCGTCGAAAGAGGTTCGGCATCAAGGAGCTTCAACCCCGCAACGTCGTCGATCTGCCGGTTCGCCCCGTCCTTGGCGCCCTTGTTGGGATCCTTCTTCGCCGCCCGCTCGGCCGCCTCGCGCTCCAGCTTCTGCTTCTCCTTGGCCGCCTTCTTCGCCGCCTTCTTGCGCTCCGCCGCGTCCTCGCCATTCGTCACGTCCCCGTTGGCCCGCGCCGCCGCCGCCCGGTCGTCCCGCTTCACGTACAGGGCCACGGCGTCGAGGGCGGCCCGCGAGTAGAAGGGGTGCTCCCGAATCCGGTCCTCCCACCGCAGCATGTCGATGTAGGCGCGGATGAAGCCCTTGCGGAGGGAGAAGGCGTGGAAGTCGAACTGGTCCTCCACCCAGGTGTCGAAGATGTTGGACACCAGCTCGAAGCGCCGCAGCGCCGGCCCTTCTTCGCCCCGCCGGGCAAAGGCCTCGCCGTCCTCGGTCAGGTACCAGACGGCCTGCATGTCGACTAAGTCCATGAAGGGTCCGCCGATGGTCTCAGCCCTCGTAAAGTGGCCCATCATCTTGAGGGCCTCCTCGTTCTTGTTGTTCCGCAGGAGGTACTTGGCGGCCTTGGTGCAGATGTACCTGTCCCTGGTGTCGAGGGTGCGGGCGCGCTCCATCCACTCGGACGCCTTGTCGAGGTTGCCCTTGTGCTTCCATATCCTCGCCTTGGTCATGTGGAACTCGACGCTCTGGGGGACCTTCTCGATGGCCATGTCGACGTAGTGCATGGCCTTGTCGAGGTGGCGGCTGAGATGGTAGTTGTAATGCTGGGCTAGGTAGTAGAGGGCTGCTGGCTGGCCCTTGGTTCCGTCGCCGTTGGTCGCATCTGCGCTGTCGTTGTGCGATGAGATGTACTCTTCTGCCAGTGTGGCCAGCGTCTCTTTTTTGAACGAGTCGGAATAGAGGTGCTTCAAGTTGGCAAAGGTCGAGGGGACGCCCTTGTTCAGCATGAGGGTGAGGTACTCCTTGGCCGCTTGTACAAAGTCATTGCCTGTGGTCCTAGTTAGCACGAGAAGCGACTGCATTGATCGCAGGGCCTGGAAAAGACCATACCAGAAAGAAAGTTGAGAGGTAGACGACGAGGGGCATCAGCACGTGGGTACTTCTCAGCATACTCGTCGTAAATCTTCTTCCTCTCCTCCGCCGAACCCAACTCCACGACGGCCTCCAACAGGTCGTAGTACTCGGGATGCTCCGGGTTCCGGTTCAACAGGGCCCTGTACACGGCAGCAGCCTCCTCGTTCCTGCGCAGCTTGGTCAAATACTCGGCGCGCCTCTCCAGCACGGCAAGACGGTCGAGGTTCGACCGGGCGGCGGAGTCGAGGTGGTCCAGGGCCCTCTGGTAGTCGCCCTGCTCGGCGACGAGGCGGTTCTTGTACATGACAATCTCGGCGTGCTCAATGTCGCGACTTGAGGGCGTCGTCTTCAGGGTGCTCTCGTAGGTGTCGAGGACCTTCTCGGCGGTGGCGCGGTCGTCGTTGAGGTGGTGGGCGACGGCGAGGGCGGTCCAGTTCTGGATCAGCTGGGAGCGGGCCTGCAGCATGGTGATGCGGCTCTGCACGTAGCCGGGGTAGTCGCGGGTCTGCATCTGCAGGAGGGCCAGGTCGCGCAGGATCTGGGCCGAGTCCGGGTCGATCTGGAGGGCCTGCTTGTAGGCCTTGATGGCGTCGTCGTACTTCTTCACGGCGCGCCACAGGAGCCCGTAGACGTGCCAGCATATGGACGACTTCATGTCGTTCATCAGCGCGACTTTCCCGAGGGCGAAGGCTTCGTCGGTCTTGCCTTGGGCGTTGAGAATGAGGGCCTTCATGGCGGTGGTGTCGCCGTGTTTGGGGTGCTTCTTGAGGATGATGTCTGCATTCTTGAGCCCGCGCTTGTATTGCTTGTCGTCATAGTTTCGGACCACCGTCCGGAAGAGGGCGGCCTCTTTTGGAGGAAGAGGTTGCGGCATGATGTCGGTAATGGGTAGCTGGCGGAGACTGTGGCTATGTGCTTCCGAAGCAGTTCAGGGAGGGATTACGTAGAGTCGATGGCGATAGCGATATGGGGAGACCTCAAGCTCCGTTCTAGCCAGGGTTCTAGACGTTAGAAGGCGTGGGTCGTGTTTGGAAGAGTAGTTAAGTGGTGATCAGGGGCTAAAGAATAAAATGGACTCACATGCAAAGTCTTCATGCGCTGGGAGGACCGCGGGGTCGGCGAGGGGGGGGGAGGGGGACGGAATGGATGAAATGGAGGAAAAGGAAAAGACTCAATTCCTAGAAAATAGAAACAAAAGTCTGCTTCTGTCTGCCACTTGGGGTTAGCGGCAGTATGGGCAATCTTGATATAATTCGGATCTGAGAAAAACACCACGTAGTCAGACACAGGAAGTGACTGTGGGTGCACCCAGGTTTGTGGTTTGGTGCGAAAAGGGAAAATGAGAAAATGGGAAAATGGGCTTGGACAAACGAAGCTGGAGGTTTGATGGTTGATCATTGGCGGTACGGGTACGTACCAGAATGTGCCGGAGTACAAGTAAAAGTACCAATGTTAGGTAATACACGGAAACCTCGACTTCACCCCGCTCGAGTGCTGCCAGCTGTCATCACTTTGAACAGTCTGCATCTGCATCTCCGTGTCCAGCACTACAAAGTTGAAAAGGCCGCGCGACAGTACGAGTATAGAGAGAATAGAGAAAGAAATCGGGAATAAGGGGAGTCTAGATTCTATCCATGGCCAAATCGTCTGCCAGATTGTGCTGTTAGTGTTACATGTACAGTACATCCCTCGCATGAACCACGCTTCCCTCCCCTGCTGTAAGGTACCTTATTCTATCATACACACAAGTGAACGTCCCACGTATGGTCACCTCGTCGACGATGTTGCTGCCAATGCCAATGCCCCCGTTCGCCTCCTCCAGCCATGAAAAGCATCTTCCCACTTATCCAAAGGCTCACCGCAGCGCTGCCTCACCACATCCCACGTCCTAGACCGCACAATATTCTCAACCCCCTTCTCTTGCCTCAGCAGCAGGGCGAGCTGCTCGGTCCGCGGCTCCTTCGGCAAATACCGTCCCGAATACGGGTCCAGGCGCTCGTCGACAACGCGCTCCTGCTCCTTGGCCGCCTCGACCTGCCTCGCCGCGGCCTCCGGGTCGTCGGGATCGGGCGAGGTGGCGACCAAGCCGCAGTAATGGAGGACGTCGGCGCGGGCCTGCCACGACGGGAAGAGGACGGCGTCTTTGAAGTTCTGGCACGATGCGCGGTCGAGCTGCTGCGTGAACGAGCGCGGGGCCCGTTGGGACGTCGACGCCGGGTCGAACCCCTGCCGCGCCGGGTTCACGAGCGCGTTGAGGTTTTGGGTTATCGAGTCGTCGAGGCTGGACCGGGAGAGGCGGAGGAAGCCTGGGGCGTTGTGGCGACAAGGGTTAGGACGTGACTGAGGTTTTCGGAGACTAAGGAATGGGTCCCATGGATTGTGGGTTGCTCACCTCGTAATGTGCCTTCGGAGAAACAGAACTGCGGGGTCAAATGCGGTGGACTTGTCGGTTGCGCCATGATATCCCGGAGCCCACGGTTCGGTTGGGTTACAGTGCCAGCCGTCCGAGAAGCCGACTCCGATTGCCAGAGGATTCCCGCCAGTGTGATGAAGAAAGAGTCGAGTCCAAGAGACGTGCAAAGAATAATATTTATTTTGATTGTTATAGCTCCCGTTGTTGGGGTTGCTGTTCAGCCGTTTTCTTTATCGTCTTTCGCCTTTTGCTTTTCGCATCAATCAGGCCATCATAAAGAGGAGGCGGCAGTACAAAGCCGTCCTCTCAGAGCTACCTAATCTTGTCCCACTTAGAGCTTGGTCCAATGACGTCTTGTCGGATGACATAAGCAATACAACGTACGTGTACGTCGAGCTCAGATGGCAAAGCTATCGACTCGGGACCATATTTATTCCGAGAGACATTGCACTGCACGTGATGTGTTCGTGACCACCAACTTCCAACCTCAATCTCCCCTGTCTATCATTTTCCCTTTTTGATCCTGTTCCCCCCGTCTGCACTCGCCGTCGCCAGGGGTGCCTGCACGACACTCTAGACACGCAGGGGTCTGATGCCCTGCTACGGCCCCTGCTACGGCCCCTGCTATGCCGTCCCGGGTAATTTGCAAGATGATCGACTTCTTCGCGTATGAAGCAGGCACCGGGGTTGACCTGCTTCCTCGATTCCTCCATGCTCCCCAAGTTCCAACAGCACTCGCTCTCTTGTTGGTCCCTCTGTGTCACCCAATACCGAGTAATGATGTCCTACCTATACCCGGACCATGGCCCACACAAGGACCTCTTCCTCGCACAAACTACTTCCTGTCGCGGATTTATCTTCGTCCAACCTTTCTCGAGCGAACGCGCCAGGAAACCAATTCCTTCGGTAGACGATGGCGACGGCCGAGAAGGTGACCAATGACGACACTGTTCATCGCCATTCGGTTCTTGTAAATCTCATCAAGACATGTCGAGACCTAGCAAAAGACCTTGGTGCGCTGGCCAGCAGCCTAGACTCGGCACCTCTGACCCTTTCAGCTCTGGCCAAGGAATGCCGAACCGTTACCAGCGTGCTGAAAACCGTTTTAAGCTCTTCTGCTCGACCTACTCCCTGGCGATCCGGGACGCCTTATAGGCAGGGTACGCCGGCTGGGTTGGCTAGGCCGAAGGCGCATATGCAGCTTTCCAACTTCCAAGATGATTGATCGATGGAGGGTTAAGGGGTTAAGGTGTAGGGTGTCGATTTTGTTTTGGGGGCGTTTCTGTGGCAAAAAGGGGTGTTCTGGTCAAGAGTTGGGCCTGTGTCCAGGTGTATGGCCTGTCTGATATCGGTTTGAAGGGTGCAGGCATTATATTTTTCACATACCTCCTTACGAACTATCCAAGAAACCATCTTAATTCAATTCACTTTTGTTTTCCCCGTCCCTATCTATTCCTTTTGTATTTCTCCTCGTCCATTTCTTTCTTCTTTTTTGTCTATTGACGTTGCTTAGTCTACTTCCCCCTACTTCCCCCTACCCCCAAGGTTGGCCATCGCCTCAACCCTTTCCGGCGTCAACCCGCAACTAGGCAGCGCACGCTGACCGGCGGCAGGCGCGGGAAGGAAGCCAATGGCGACGAGATAGGCCAGGTACATGCCAATAGCGTCGATATCCACGACGTTATCGGAGAGAGGATCGCGATCCGCCGGCGCCGCATCCCCTTCGTACGCACCAAGGACGGCGGCCGCGTTCACGTCGTCCAGTTCGGGGGCTATCGAGTCGGTCGGTAGGTTCCCCGTGACGTGATGGAAGAGGGGCAGCAGGGCGAGCTCCTCTTTGGTCTCGTCCGCGACGTAGGCGCGCAGCTTGGACGACCAGTCCTCGTACGGGACCCGGGGAACGGGGTAGCCGTACGTCTCGAGGGCGCCGACCCAGTCGTTCAGCGTGAGGCGCGGGTGGCTCGTGACCTGCACGACGCCTAGAGGGTCGCTGTCCCTGTCCCTGTCCGTCGGGGGGTGCAGGGCCGAGGCGACGACGATGCGGCTGACCTGCGTGACGGGGACCTGGTTGAGGGTGTTGGCGATGTCCGGGCGGGCTTGGACCTGGAGACATCCCTTCCATAGACGCACGAGGTAGTCGTCCGTCACGGAGATGCCCGAGGTGGGGTCGCCCATGATGTAGCCGGGGCGGACCACCGCGCCGACGAGGCCGCGTCGGCCGGCTTCGCGGACCACGGCTTCACTCGCCCACTTCGATTGGCCGTAACCCGTTCCCAGACCCTTGCGGCTGCCGGACAAGTCGTCTGACTCCGGCACGCCCTTGCCACCGGCGGCGACGCTCTCCTGCGAGAGCTTGACGTAGTGGTCGCTGTCCAATGTGGACGTGGAGCTGACGAACGCCAGCCTCTTGGGCTTCCCTTGCGTGCACAGACCGATGCAGTCCATGGTGCTGATGACGTTCGCGTTGCGCAGGCTGGAGTAAGGCAGCATCCAGTTCACCTGGGCGCCGTTGTGGATGATGACGTCTGCCTCGTTCGCGACCAGCTCCCAGTCGGACGAAGAGAGGCCGAGCCGAGGCTTGGCGATGTCACCCGAGACGGCTTGCAGGCGGGAGCGCCAGTCGTCGGACCAGAGACCGTACGCCTTGGTAGCCGCTTCGATACGCGCCAGTCCGGAAGAGGCATCTCGCGAGCGCACGTGAGCGATGACGCGGAGGTTGCGGTCGAGGAGCTCGCGTACGATGTAGGAACCCAGGAAGCCGGTGGCACCGGTCAGGAACACGGTCTGGGGAGCGGGCGCATCGGCCGGCACGCCGGGAATAAATTCGGGGAGTTGCGACATGAGATCATCGGCATCGGCGGCGTAAGCCTCGTCTTGGGCGACGGGGTCGTATCCCGTGGCGATACCGGCGTCCAGCCGCAAACCGGTGGGATCTTGGGCGCGATCAATCTCGGCGGCGAAGGCTTCGAGGGTCTGTGATTGGAAGATGGCGCTCATGGGAATGTCGATTTCCTTCCATGTCTGCCTCACCCGGAAGAGCATCCGTTGCGCCAAGATGGAGTGGCCGCCCTCCTCGAAGAAGTTGGACTTGGGGACGAACATACGGGCGGTCCGGTTGGGAAGGATCTCGGCCCAAAGGCCGGCCAGCTTCTTCTGGGTCTCGGTCAAAGAGGCAAGAGCCGAAGACGACCTAGAAGCGCGTCTGTGCAGGGTGGCGAGGTCGGTCTCGGAGGGGAAGGGGAGGGCGGGCTTGTCGATTTTGCCGTTGGGGTCTAGAAAGGATGGACGGATTAGCGTGGGTACGGATACCGAGCGAACAAAACGAGCGAAAGAAGAAGGCAGCAAAAGACGGGCCAGGGCCGTGAGGTCTCCGGAAGAACAAAGAACATACTTAGCGGCATTCGCATCAACGGGATAAACATGGTAGGAATGGCGTAGTGGGGGACCTTGGTCTTGAGGAAGTTCTTGCAGTCCTCCGACAAGGACTTGAATCTCCTCAACATGGCGGCCATGGACTCATCCGAGGTGTCCGGCACGAGCGAGGCGTCTCCGTCTCCTCCCGAGAGGTGCTGGAACCAGCGCTTGGCCTCGGGGACGATGTAGCTGACCAGGATGGGTTCCTCGTCCTTGTCTCTCCTGGTCATGGTGATGTTCTCGCGAATGAAGGGATGACGCGACAAGTGGGCGTCGATCTCGCCCAGCTCGATGCGGAAGCCGCGCACCTTGACCTGGTTGTCGATACGGCCGGTGCACTCGACAGTGCCGTCCGGGCGGAAGCGACCCAGGTCGCCGGTCCGGTAGACGCGATCGCGGGGTCCCTTGTAGAACTGCCTCCAGGGTTCCGAGGCCGAGGCGGCGTTTTCCTTTTCCTTTTCCTTCTCCTGCTCGGCCCACTGGGCCGGGTCGACGAACCAGTTGGTGAGAAACTTGGACTCGTTCAGCTTGCGGCTCACGTCGTCGTTTCCGAGGTAACCCTCGGCGAGACCGGCCGCGCGGAGGAACAGCTCGCCCTGCTCGCCGACGTCGCACACGCGATTCCGATTGTCGCGGTCGACGACGAGGAGCTGCACGTTGAGCATGCCCTGGCCGACGGGGATGACGTCGGGCAGGTCGTCGAGGGCGTTGGGCTGGGCGAGCTTGCTGGGGACCTCGAAGTACGACACGCTCCTCTGCGTCTCGGTGGTGCCGTACATGTTCACGATGTAGGCGTTGGGGGCCAGCTCCTGTAGCCTTCGGCAGTCCTTCTTGGTCAACAAGTCGCCGACGAAGAAGGCGTGGTGCAGGGTCGGGAACTGGGTGGTGGCACCTCCCACGAGGATCTGCCCCATGGCCGGGGTCAAGTGGGTGACGGTGATGCGGTTCTCCTTCATCCATTCGGCGAGGATCTCATGGGCGATGCTGTCACGGGGCGGGACGATGATTTGAGCTCCGAGGAAGAGGGGAGTGAAGATGTCTCGCTGAGAGGGCTTTTCGTTAGCAGGAATGGGCTGATGAGAGCGAGGTATGCAGAAACGACCGAATTACGCACCTGAATAGGGTCGTGAGCAATCCCAGAAAGCATGGTGAACCTGTCCCGCTCGGACAGGCCAAACGTATCGGCCATCCAAGGGGTGTAATAGGTGAGAGAGAAATGACGACCCTGGACCCCCTTGGGACGACCCTCGGAGCCGCTGGTAAAGCTCAGGGTGGGGATGGAGTCGGGGCCGACAACGACGCCAGGCAGCGAGCCCCTGAGGCTCTCGTAGTCGTGGAGACAATCCTGGCCATCGACATGGACAAGCCCGCCTTGCAGCCGGCCATCGGCCAGGAGCTGGAGGGCGGGCACCTCGGCCTTGATGGATAGGTTCGACTTGATGAACTCGGCGACCGAGTCGGACATCTTGCCGCTCTCCTCGGTGGCGCGGAGGATGTGGACGAGGAACCTGGGACCGGCGACCTCGAGGAGAATCTTCTGGCGGTCTGGCGGGTACTGGGGGTCTAGGACGCTGACGGTTGCACCGGCCTTGAGGGCTCCCATGTAGGCCACCACCAGCTCGACGCTTGGCAGGGGGGAACCATTGGTCAGTGGCTGTGAGCATCCGAGACGGTGGTACAGTGAATTGATGGATGGATGGATGGATTGATGGATTGATGGATTGATTGATGACAAGAATGTGAGAATGGAGAATGGTAGAGGATCAGTGACTCACCCACGGTAGGCATAGATCATGACCACATCACCTCTTTCGCACCCATGAGCGATGAAATAATGAGCTAGATGGTTGGAAGCTTCATTGATCTGCTGGTAATTGAAGACACGCTCGGGAGCGCGGTAGCCCTTGGTCTCGACGACGCATGGTCTATCGGGATGAGCCTGGGCATTGGCGGCGAAGATGTCGTGGATGGCTAAAGGGAGAGTTAGTGAGTCAGTGTCTTGTCGCGACAGTGACACCCCTCAGCTTACAAACATGGGTCATCCGAAAAAAGAAAGGAAAAGCAGAATCAAGTGCAGCTATAGCAAAAGGGAATGGATGCCATCTCACCTCCACGGAACTCGCCCCAATGCAGGTCTGCCGTGGGATCCGGGATCACGGCGGCCATGGTGGACGACTTTTGTCTCGTCTTGTTGGTTGCGGTCTATTGGTGTTGACGTGGGTTTAAAAGAGTCGTCATTTCACTGAGGTTATTGGGAAGTTGATTCTCGTTGGCTGGAGGTCTGGAAGGCTGTGTGACTGACTCGGGACTGTGACTCTTCGTGTTGGTTGATTGACCCCGAGCGTCGAACTCTTTGACCCCTCGACCCCTCGACCCCTCGACTCTCGACCCGAACGATGAACTTTTTTGTGGGGCCAACTAGGGTCCGATTACGGCACGGTGGGATGTCCAATTACGTCAGCCAGTGAAGCATTGGCGTCAGGTGGGGAATTGACTTTGTGACGTCGTACGTCTTAGTAATCAACGGCTTTTACTCAAACGACGTCCCATGGCCATCACCACATCCTCATATCCTCATGTTTGTCGCCGGTCCAACACAACGCTCATCTGGAAACAAGCTCGCTGCTCAGGGGGGCAATTAGTATTCTGGGTCAAGATGAATGGTTTTCCAAACATGTCGTTTGTGAATGCACAAACTCTTGCGCACCAAAGTTGATTCGGAGCAGACCCCCCTGAAGACAGTGAAGAGAATCAAGAGACGAAGCAGTGGGCTCAGCTGTTCTCCTATAAACAGCCCCGGGAGCGTCTTTTCCAAATACTGTCCTCCAGATCTATCCAGCCTATAACATGAGATACGGCTTGTTCCCCCTAACCATGCAGCAAGGAGGGAGGGCTTAGGATGATTCCAAGGTCGACGGCCGACCTTGGGACCTTGGGTGATACTTTGTCCAGCAATGCCACAAATGGGCCGATCTCCAGGTCCTCTACACCTCCTATAATCTTGCATCCAGTACACCATTCCGCCAATGCCATTATTCATTCAGGTCCCCAAAGAATGGTATGTGGCTTCTCTGAGGTGGAGACTTTAAAGCCCGCCTTGCCCATTGTCCATACCTCTTTGAATGATCCATCACCGTCATACTTCTATTCTACTCTCGTCAAATACATCAGCCAGCACTTCGATCCACCAAGCTGTCAGATTACTGTCAGAACACATCAACATCCATCCTTTTCCCGCTACTACGAGACAGTACGTATAGAGTCTCTACACTCACCCAAAAAGAGTGCAGCTGAGGACTTTTTAGTATGGCAGATCAACCCCTCTTCCCACGTTAGACACTAACTTACGTGTCATCATGGGAGATAAGGTCAATCAGAATCACCATCCTCAGATGGGTGATCCCGCCCCCGACTCTTCGCAAAGGGTAAAACCTTCTCCGCAAGGCCCTTCGCAAGAAAGCCAGCGGCACCGATGCCGAAGAATCATCCGACGAGAGACAGAACGCGGTTGGAAAACAAAACGCAGATGGTAAACAATGGGTCACTGTCCCTAGGCAGTAGGATGACGCTTGGGATATTATTCATAGCGATTCGTCGCGCTTCTTGCCCGATGCCGAGATGCCTACTACGGAGGAGCAGATGATGGAGACTTTGGATCGTGTCCATGCTACTGTTGTTCGTCGCGTCGGTTACATAGTCAACGTCAGGCGAGAGGCTTGCTGCAGCCTGCGGGCCTTTCACTTTGTTGGATAGTACAAAGAACGACCATGGGTATCTCCGTTAATAGACATAGACACATGTAGTGTTAGTCTTGGGGAAATTTCGTATGCCACGACCCACGACTCACATAGATAAAGGAGGAAGGCAATAATACGAAGTACCTTAGGTATCTTAACTCATACCTTATGATTTCCCTTGAAAGTCTGTGTTGGTTATACTTCCTGTCCTACGCCCTCCCAAATCATAACTTCAGAAGGAGACATCAGAGAACAAATAAAGTTAATTTCATCAAACCAAGTCCATTGCACTTGCTTCTTGTGTAGCCTCCCCTGAGGCTGTTAGTCCCGAGGCGTGACATCGTTGAACTGGAAACGGCACGGGCATCCGGACACATCCCGACCTCTTCCATGTCATCGCAAACCCACGTCTTAATTCTTTATTCGAAATTTATCCCTTACATGTTTTCTGTGAACAAGTTGGCAAGAAAGCTTCCAGCCAAGTACACTCACTCACTCTGCTTGGGTATGCTGGTTATCGTCATCATAGCCATCACACCTGGCTGACAAGCTTGCCATGTCCTCCTGTTCTATTTCACCTCGCGGATCAAAGTCTCATACATCCATTGATTCCCCTGGTAAGATCAAAAATCCCTTGTCCCCTAGCATTGGACTGTCGAAATAGCCAATGCCCTATGCTGTCAGCCCCGAATGCATGATATAAAGCTATAGAACCTAACAGACGAGTCAGCAGTCAGGACTCAGGACTCAGTTGTGGACGAAATGTCCGATTCTTACAAGGCCACTTGGTTTATGGACGCTGATACGGTTAGAAGCGAACTGAAGGACATTCTGAATGCGTCCAAGGTGAGCTCTCCCTCTCCCTCTAGCTTCTCACCATTGACACGCCCCGGCACGACACAGTATGGCAAAAAGTTCATGGATCCCCTGCATTCCGAGTTAGTCTACCACCTGGTCCACCTCTGGAAAAAGAACGTCCCCAAGTCCCTGGATCCCACCCGTTACTACGAGCTTGATTTGGATACCGATATCGTCAAGCGTCTCTTCGACGCACTGCCTTCCATCCACGACGATTACAATGCGACCAAGCCCATACAGCTTGAGCCCGAGAACAAAGAGTCGCTTGACTCGGGTCTCTTTCCCCGGACTCGCGAAGCGTACGACTGCGCAGACGTTGGCCGCGCCAGATTGGCAGCGCATAATGCGGCTTTCGTCCACGCCCTCTGGCCCTACGCCAACTCGACCTTAAGGAGGGTCGTCGTCGCGTCCCTCGACACGCATTCCATCAAGCTCTGGTGGGCCGCCCGCAAGAGTTTCACCCTCTGGGACCTGGACGCCCCGGACGAGTTGCGCTTCAACTCCATCCGCAACACCTTCATGCAGTACCTCGCCGGTCTCATAACCACGCAGCAGGCCCCGTTCGAGGACCCCGAAAACCCCACGCCGCCTTGCCAACAGGGGGAGCTCAAAGGGCTCACGCCCCCAATGGATAAGAAGAGCGAATGGATCTACTACAGCTGGTGGATTTACATCGGTCGTCCGGACAATCTGAGCCCTTTCCCGGAGCTTCGCAGGGTCTCCGCCCGAACCCGGGACCTCGGTGGCCTCCTCGACTGGGACAAGTGCGCCGTGTGCGGCTCCCGCTACTCGAAAGAAGGGGAAGACGACGGGCGGAAGAGACCCGTCCATCTCTACTGCTCCGGCTGCGTCATCGTCGGCAACCCGCACTACCACCACCTCAAGCGCCGCTATTGCAGCGAGGCCTGCCGCCGCCTCGACCTCGCCGACCACTTCCCGCGCTGCCAGCAGCAGAAGACCTTCCTCCACGGGGTATGCTTCCTCGAGAGCTTGGCCCGCAGGTTCCTCGAGGCCACGTTTACCGGCACCGTTGCCAGCTACTCGGCCGGCCCCTTCGCCGACATGCCCGAGTCGGCCGGGAAAACGCTCCGCCGCGCCGCCGAGTCCCACGTCGTCTTCCCCGCCGTCTTCTCGAAGGCGCCGTGGACCGGCGGGTCGCTCTTTCTCAAGCCCGAGCTTCGCGAGGAGATACTGAAGGAGGCGGGAGGGGCCAACCATGCGATGCTGGCCTGGGACACCGGCGAGCATTGGTATATTCAGCTGCGGCACCTCATTGTGGACATTTTTAAAGGTGAGGAAATGGGCATTGTCTTTTGTCTGTCTTTCTTTTTCCATCTCCCCCTCCTCTCCCTGCCCAACTCCTTAACCCGCCCCTTTCTGTCATCAAGAGGAAAAACAGTTCTGACGTATAGGATGCTCTCCCTCCATCTCTCCCACAGAGCACTGCGACAAGATCCTGGAGCTCAGCGTCTACGTCCGCAACGCCGACTCGATCTCTTTCCTCGGAAATGACCTGTGCCGCAAGACCAATACCGTCTTGACCTATCACGGCAAGAACCCCATGTTCTGGCCTCATCACGTCCTGTATTGCCGGCTGCGTGGCACGGGGGCCGAGTTCGTCATCGACCTGCGATCTCTCATCTTTGGCTGGGACATCGCCGTCTTGCCCTTCAACGTCTTTGCCGCCACACGCCTCGCCGGTATAGCCGGTCCTAGCGTCTCCCTCTTCGACCACACGGCGGTCGACAAGGCCGTTATCATCCCAAACTACCGCATCGGTATTCAGAAGGCCCGCGCGAACGTCATGGTTTATGCCCTGACCGACGCGTGGAAGCACCTCAAGGTGTCGCCGGACATCCACCCTCGAAACCGCAGCAAGCTCACCAACTCGCTAGGGGGCTTCCTGGCCATGAGAGACGCCAGATGGCAGGTTGTTGCCACGAAGATGGCCGGCGTCATGGGGGCCGCCTTCGAAGCCGCGGCCGAGTTGGCGCGCGAGGAGGGCAAGTTCCGCCAATACCTCCGGGTCAACACGAACCCGTACGGCCATGTGTTCAGCGTGGGCGTGACCTACTCGAACGACCAGGTGGCGCTGTGCGAGCCCGTATGGATGGGGCGGAAGACGTACCGCGCCATCATTGGGAACACGCTGGCCAGAACGGTGGTACAGCAGGACCCCGAGGGGAATGTGGCCAGTGGACCACCGCCGCCCTTCCCGGAGTACGACGTCCGAGACGTCTTGGCCCGTTGGACGGAAATGTTGAAATCCGCCTTTGCAAAGGACCCCCCAGAGAAAACCCCTCTTCGCGCCAAGGCTTTCGAGGCGGTCCACGGGGACCTGGTCAGGCTGTTTGAGCTCAGGGGCTTGGTCATGCCCAGGCAGGAAATCAACCAAGCTTACGTTCTCTTCAAAGTGTGGGAGAATCAACTCGCCCTGATGGAGTGGAAAGAGAGAGAGGGGCTTTTTAAAGACTATAGGAGTGTCGTCAAAGACCTCTCAGCCCAGTTCGAGGAGTTTGTCGACTCCATCCGCCCGACCAGCGAGGGCCCCGACGATAATACCAGCCATTTAGCCCTCGCCGATTCCGACGCCGACGCTAAGCAGCCTCAGGCGGCCGACGACGACACAAAGGCTGCTGCCACCAGCGGAGGTTTGAACGGCGACGCCAAGGAGGAGGAGGAGGAGGAGGCCGCCGACGAGGTTGTCAAGGTTGTTTCCTTCGGCCCGGACCTGATGCTCCCGCAAGAAACGGCCTCGTACGCCATATCGCTCGCAACCGCAAAGAATCTCAGCAATCGCGCGGCCTGGTGCACCCTCGTGCTTCGTGACGCTGAGACTGACTTTACAGCCTCCCGGCCTCCGCCCCTTGGGGGCCCCCAGCCTCCTCCGGGACTTGGCAGGCCACGAGGCACGGGTGCCCCTTTGGGTATCATGGTCAGAGCCCTACAGGAATCCGGCTACGGCAATATATCCTATGGGAGTTTGGAGCCTTGGGTCGCGTCCCGGATGAAGCTCCAGCAGATGCGCAGTCCACATGCGATACGTCCTGACGAGAATGGCGGTGGTTGATTCTTACAATGATAAAGACGAAGAGGCGGTGTATAAGTTATAAGGTATTGCTTTAAGTTAGGAGAAGAGAGTGTGATCAGATCCTGGCTGAAGGCAGACAAGTCGGAAAAGGGGGGATGATGAACGTGCTCAGGAGTCGTAAAAAAAGGTATCATACAATACACCCCAATGCGGGCCATGCCGCCGTTGTCATACAGACAGTATACTACATGAAGCCCCTATTACTTTAAGTAGAAATAAATAGTGATATTCAGTCCACGTTACACGTTAACAAAAGAAAAAGAGAAGGCGGAAAAAAAGCTAAAAGAAACCAGTCTTCGGATCGTCCCATGACTCCCATCCATTCCGTTCCGTTTTCAAAGCCAGTCTCGTTCACTGCTCCTCGAAATCCTCCATACTTTCTCCTGTGTCTCGTGATTCCAGTGACTTTGTCCCCCTGGCTCCCGTTCCCGCCAGATACTATTATTTGGCGGGAGCAAACTCCAATGACCATTACAAGACTTATCACAGCTCGGCACGAATCTTCTCCTCGGCCTCGTTAGTGTTCTTCTTCGCAGCCTCAGCGCCCAGGCCGACCTGTCCTGCGACCCAGTTCCACGTATTCTTAAAAGTGTCGCCGATCCTGGTGAGGATGGTCCCGGAGGGCGTCGTGGTGCCGTACTTGAAGAAGGTGTAGTGCTTGCGGGCGGCGGCGCGCAGCTCGTTGGTTGTAGAGCCTTGAGGAACCGGGATGCCGTAGCTGTCGAGGTAGTTCTTGAGCTCGCTCTCGCTCCACGTGTCGAAGGCACTGTCCTTCACCGCCTGTGTGGCCTGGGCGAGGTAGCTGGTCAGAGATGCGTACTGGGCGCCCCCGGCTGCGGAGGCCGAGGCGTATCCAGACTGGGCGGCGCTGACCAGTTCATCGCGGGTGGCATCTTTCTTCTCGGCAAGCTTCTTCGCGGTGGCGTCTCCATTTTTGGCGAGATAGGCCCTCAGGTTCTCGAGGGACATGTCGTCGTAGATCCATGCATTCCCACCCGAAGCAGCCCTGTGGGCATGCTTCCGAACCAGAGCGCGGAGCTCGTCCGACTTGGAGCCCTGAGGGACAGGGATGCCACGAGAATCGAGATAGCTCTTGAGCCGGCTGTCGCTCCACGTGCCGACGGCCTGGTTGAAAGCCTCCTGGGCGGCGAGGGATGCCTTGTCCGTAGCGCGAGCATACTCGTTGCCGGCGCTTGACGTGGCGGCACCAAAGGCATCGGTAGCCTTCTTGGAGACATTCTCGTGGAGGAAATCGGCACGATGCTTACGAATCAGAGCACGAAGCTCGTTGAGCCTAGTACCCTGGGGGACTGTCGACAAGGGAGAGAAACAATCAGTTACACTGGCGGTCAACATGAAAAAAAGGAAGAAGAAAAGTCGGAAGGGGCCAGCACTTACCAGGGATACCGTTCTTGTCAGCGAATTCCTTGAGCTGCGACTCGCCCCAGGCATCGATGATCTGGTCAGTCAAGGTGGCATAAGCCTGAGCAGCGCTGGAGGAAGCACTAGCGGCTTGATCCTGTGCTTTCAGATAGGCAAGGCGCGAGTTCCGGCGAACCGTGGCAACGAGACGGTCGCGCTGTAAACAAAGTTATTAGTGACGACAGCTTGGATGGATAGCTTGGCACCTTGACGAGGGCGTAAACCTACCGTCGTGGGCTGCGGGGCAGGGATACCGTGAGTGTCGAGCCACTCCTTGAGATCGGATTCTGTCGATAGTTAGCGGGCCACGTCAACCTCTCACTAGAAATGTTTGGGAACAGGAGAGGAGTGAACACGAACCAGTCCAAGTCTCGTACAGCCAGTCTCCGGGGTATGAAATGGCATCGTTCGTTTTTTGAGCGACAGTTTCGTAGTTGGAGCGGATCGTCTGAAGGAGGGTGTCACGCTTGCGGGGTTGGGGAACTGTGAATGAAACGTTAGCTCTGCCTCCAGAAACTACAAGGCCGCGAATGTGAGATTCTGAACGTACCAGGGAGGTCATGCTTGTCGCAGAAAGCCTTGAGCTCGCTGTCGGTCCAGGTGTCGAAGATCCAATCCTTGACGCTTCCCCAAGCCTCCTGGGCCTGGTCGCTGGTCTCGTACCACGAAGACTGGACCTGGGAAAGGAGAGAATCCTTGCTAGACTCGGCACCCTTCTGGGCCTCAACACCCTTGGACTTGAGGTAGGATTGGAGTCTCTCGGTGTCCCACGAGTAGTAGGGAGAAACAATATAGTTGTCCCAGTTTCTCTCGATGAGCTTCTCAAGGTCCTTCCTGTCGGCCGGAGTAGGATAGGGAATATCGTGATCGGAGAGCCACCGCTCGAGTTCCGACTCATGCCAATTGTTGTAGGCTGGGGTGCGGACGTCAGTGCCTGCGTTCCAAATGCCCAATGTTAAGAAAACGAGTTGAAACAGGACAAGACGGGAGGGGACGAAATGGGAGGAGATGAAATGGAAGGAGCTTCAATACATACCGCTTCTTCCGAACCAGTTGCTGGCGAGGACGCCTTGGGTAGCAAGGGCCACCGTCAAGACGGTGGGTAGAAACCTCATGGTTCTCGGGCGTGTCTTCTGTATGAGGTGGTGATGGTCAAGATCAAAGGGAAACGGCAAAAAGTGAGGTGAGATGGAGAGTCTTGACGACAACAGACGAGCAGAGGGGGGGTTGTTTTAGACTGGAGGCCCGTTTGTGAGAGTTGTTGAGTGGAAAATTAGCCTTGTGGAATGTTGCGCAGGAGTGTTACCCAAGGTTACGCGAAGGATGGAGGAATGTAAGTTGGCCCAGGTGTGGTAAAGAGAAGAGTTCCAGCTTTTTACAGGGAAGAAAGCAGAAAGAAGCAAGTCGAGAAGGTATCGACGTCAGACTTTCAGGTGAAGAAGGGAGAAGGCAGTCGAGTTGTTCATGGGCCAGTGGCGGCCTATGTGTGGATGAATGGTATGTGGGTGAATGGTACCTAGGTACCCAGGGTCAAGGACTCAAGATGGATCGGAAAGAGGTCTAGGTACCCAGTTAGGAGGGATATCGTACAGAGTTTACGAAGCAACTTGTGTCGTTGAAGGTGTCGATACTTAGGCAGGAGGCGCTAGATACGTGATGAATACGTAGTGAATCAATAACGTCACCGTTCTCGGGACTGGTTGACGACGAACACGAGCTAGGTAAGGTAGGTACCTAGGTAGTAAATGTACTGTGCATCGTAAGGTACCTTCCCTCTAGATATTTGTTAGCTTCGCTGTGCTGTTAAGGGAGGTACCTGCCTAGTACTTACCTCGTATTTTCCCCACCAGCATACCATAACTGGCTCTACTCGAACTACCTACCTTACCTTACCTATACCCAAGGTACGGTTAAGGTAGGTAAGGTAAGGTAGGTATCTTATGTATTGGCAGTTCTGGCCGTTGGATACCTCCCTGAAAGCTCCCTGGGTCAGGAGTCAGGACTCATCACTCAGGACCCTGACCCTCGACTCCTTTACCAAGTTTACTTCTCTCCCGGCCTTCAAATGAAGTTCAGAAGATCAAAGAGTATGTACTTCAGGGCAAACAAGTTCGTAATCAATGGAAGGTGGAAGGCGAAACAACCCACATGTCACCATGATGAGCTTGACACTGGGAGAAGGTAGCGGACAGGTCGAGCTTATTCCCACAGCCAGGCACAGTAAAGGAGCTGCTCCATGACAGCTTCCCGTGTTTAGCGTGACGTAGGTGGGAGGTTATGACGTCACAGCTGGTACAAAGACCGTTCAAGTACCGCGACAGGGATAGCTAGGTACTGGCTGATGTAAGCGAACTGTAGGACACATACCTTTTGGTTCACCGAGATTCAAGTGTTATCGGTGACGGGATTCAACATCACTTCTTCAACTGATCAAATTTGTTTCACGTTTTCACAAAGGACGGTTCGACGAAAGATCAAGAAGCTCGTTACAAGGTGTGTATATTGCGCGATGAATATATAGGAAGAAGAGTACATCGCAGCTTGATAACGAAAAAAAAACCCCTTTTCAGCCAAGGCGGACGGATTGTCGAGAAGCTGCCCGCTATTTCCCAATGGTGCAAAACAATGAAAACTTGAGACCCGCGCGTGCAGATCTTGTTTGCCAAAGTGACACCAAAGGAACCAAGGGAGACTAATAATAGCTGACAGCTGTTCCACCATTCATCCCAACGAAGTTCGTGAGTTATGTTGCAGCATGCCCAGAGTGTGTTGCTTGGGAAGCAGGCAGGACGATGTCGAACAGGCGTGCCCTTCGTATCTCACGGCCAGACACGACGAGTTCGACATTGCCCAGCTTCGCGCTCGCGCTGCCCCTCGCAACGGGGGAAAGCAGCTGAAGTTGCTTAGTTGGCGCCAGCGGGCTGGATGCAGAGAAGAGCCTGTCCGAGCTATTGGTAGGGAAGAAGATATATCAGCAAAATGATCAAGAGAAAACACGATCCAAGGAGAAAAACTTACAACAGGGATAGCGCAGCAGCGAGCACGCTTGCCGACGTCGGCGCAGGTGCGCTGGAAGTGGCCGGCGTCGCGGGGGACATCGGTGGGGCTCTCGCAGTCGAGGTTGGCGAGGCCGAGGATGTCGGTGGCGCAGCACTGCGCGTTGCCGTAGAGGCTGATGGGGCAGGCAATGTAGGTGGTATCGGTGCTGCTCTCGGTGGGAGCGGCCATGGCAAGGCTGGCAGTGAGGGCAGCGACGACAGCGATGAACTTCATGTTGGCGGTTGGGGTTGGGATGCGGTTAAGCTGGAAAAGATAAGGGATTTTTTAGGTTGAAGATTGTCTGGCTTGAGAGGACTGAGCTGCTGATGATGAGAGGAGAGATAATGGATGATGAGGGGGGGAAAGGGCTTGCTTTTATAGACGTCCTGGGGACCTTTGTTTGCCCTGCCTCCGCGTTTTGGCTTCATGGGGAGGCATGGAGGCATCGAGGTCGGCATCTGCCCTCGCATTCCTTCCCCCCTTTCCCCCCAGCCCGATCGATGGACATTCCGGAATACGACCAAGGCGGAGGAGGAGGGAGATGTGGTGGGCTGGAAGCCCGACTACTTTGGGAACAGGCCTGCCTCCTGGCTTCGAACGCTGCCGGGGTACAGACAAGTGATACACGCCCCCATGTCCAGCACAGAGCGTGGCTGGCTTCCGAGTTGTCCGGAGAACAGGGTAACTCCCAGGTGCGTCAAGCATCGTGACAGACGCAAACGATCGCGAGGGCTCGTGTGGTCGCACGTCAGGGCCAAAGAAAAGAGCTGCATGGAGAATAATACCCTGCAATGCGGTAGTGCAAACTGCAGCGGTCTTTCTCTCCCCCGTCTTTTTCTTTTTTCCCACTTTTGTGACCACTCCAACTCCCCTCCCGCCCCGGCCCCCTCGAAGCCCACTTCATCTCCACGTTGTGCTTCCCCGGCAAACGGTTCGCCACGGGAGCTCTCTTGTCACTTTGTGCCCAGGCTGCAGCCTCGACCGGTGACGAAATTGGCGAGCGATGTACTTCGCAAGAGGAAAGACAGCGTTCCCTGGTATGGCAATCCGAGAAAAACGGTAAAGGGAAAGCTGCAGAGTGACGACTGCATTGGCGGCCCGGAATGTGATATTGTGTCTGGGATTGGCTGTACGAGGTGAATCGGGAAATCCCAATTTCCCCGGCATATCTTCGCCGGCTTGTGGTGTGGCTATCCGGGTATATCTAGCCTGCATCGGCGTGCATCGGGACTCGTCAAGGAGGGGCGTGGCTGGGCTGACAACGCATAACTGAGACATAACGATGGTCTAGATATGATCTACATAGATAGGGTACCTTGTGGGTTCCCGGGAGTGCACAAGTCGTACTCGTGGTTCCGAGGGCAGAAGCTGTGATGCTGTGTTACCACGTACGACCAATCCCAGGTGCCTGGCTTTCAGAAACCAGGACGAATACGAAGAAGTATCAGACTACCAATATGGACAATAATGATGGGTCCATCAGTCCATCAGTCCATCAGTCCATCGTACAGTCGTACTGGTATGGATAATGCCAGACCAAACAGACCACCACCATGCAGGGGGGAAAGACATACGTAAACCCGTTATACATCAGCTCAGCTTCGAGTGCAGGATCTGGCATCATCTTCACTGCTACCGTAACAGCTCAAGCAACCTGCAAGCTACTACCCAGGCAGTCTGGGCATCTGGGCAGAGCCGAAGATATGGGACATGGTCTTCTCACTGCTGCCCCCCCTCTGGCCCCTTATCCGCAGTGAGATTTTACTCGGTTGGATCATTTCCAGAGTCAATCATAGTCAATGCTATCACTGTCACCTTGGGAAGACAGAAAGACAGAAGATCTACTTGTTCGCTTTACATGTACAAACTTGGTCACTCTGCTCCCAGAAAGGAACGAGGGGAGGCAAAAGAGGCAAGTGGATACTTTACATGCATAGGTTCAT